AACCCTAACCCTAACCCTAACCCTAACCCTAACCCTAACCCTAACCCTAACCCTAACCCTAACCCTAACCCTAACCCTAACCCTAACCCTAACCCTAACCCTAACCCTAACCCTAACCCTTCTAGGGTTGGGTTAGGGGGTTAGGGGTGCACCCTATAAATCTCACAGAACCCTGACCGGGTAGACCACTCAGTTATAGGAGAGGTACGGGGCCATCACCTCCCGTACATTGAGTCCATGAATGTACAGGATTTGTTAACGGCTAGCATAACTACGACTAGCCCGCCGCTTCTCGTGGGCATTTAGCATGCCAATAACATCATCCCAATCGCCACGCTCCACTAAAGCATTACTCTTCTCGTCGTCCTCGTCGTCGGACGGTACGGGTGATGCGGTACGGCTAGTCTCTCTGCTGGTACTTGCACTGCTTTTATTAGAATGTGTCCATCCGAATACGCGCTCGTCGAGCCAGGTCATTGGATGGATGAGAAGGTTGCCTTGGGCGTCAACCCCACTGGTGTTAGATCTCCGGCGACCCAGTGCAGGCGGCTGACCAGGCGGTGGTCCTGCGGCTGGGTGTACAATGCGGCGCTGCGAGAATTATAAGTAGGGGCAGAGGTCCGAGGCCATGTTAATCTTACTTGATTGAAGTGGTTTCCGTACAGCTTTGGTCCGAATTCATCTATGACAGAGGAGATCTCGTTTGAGATATCTGCTCGGGTCTGCTTCAGCTTCTCGAGGCGCTTATGTTGACCAGGCAATACGGCAAGAACCAGAGGAGGTAAACTCCTGATGAACATTGAGACCAATGTCATCAGTACTCGGGGAAAAGGCGTACTTGTAGACATCCATTCCAGCCTCGCCAAATTTCAGAGCACAATAACCTATGACGGGTACCACAGTATACGTGATGAATGGGGTAGCGATGACCCAGTAGGTCTCAGCGCCGACATAGTACGCAATATATGTTCCAATGATGGCGTATATCGTGTAAAGAATCGGAGTGAGAGCGAGAAAGACGAGAACTTTCCAGGTTGCCATCACATCTCTGGCGGCAACCTTTACGACCGATTTAGCCAATGCCTCTGAGAAGGAATGAGCATCCTCATCCAATCCAGTGAATTTTGGAACAACCTTTAGCTTTCTTCTCAGACATATACGCAGCAACAATGAATATTGGTCCATTGAGGATGACACCAGGAAGAGCAAAGATCGTCCAAGTGAGAACAAGACCGGTCCGATAAACGAGTAGGGTGAAGCTCTTCCACGCGGCTCGGGTAGCACCTTCTACTTGATGGTCTCGAAGGCCAAGAGCGTGAAGTTGCTCATTGTACGCGATCACACGCTGCTTAAGAGCTTGGATGCGCGGCTCGTCTTGAAAATGCAGGTATCCCTCAATAAAACGTCTATTGAGCTGGACAACTTGGCTCAGGGTCAAATGTTGGCCGGGGGTGTTGTACAACCGTCGGCTGGCTTGAATGAGCTGGCTTGACTATTAGAAGTGAGGTTGCGTGGGAACGAGCATGTGGCATACCTGCAATGTGTCGTAATCCGGGGCGCGCACAGTGACAGTCTTCAGAGCGTCGTATATGATCTCCAATAACCTCGCAGAGGCAAGGCGTTTCCCCTCTCCTCCCGCCTTGAACTGTTCCACGAGTTCTTGTGGAACTTCGAACGGTTGCCCAAATTCGATGACAACACGAGAGCGGAACTTGTGTGCGTGGAAATACGATAGACCGCAGGGAACTATCTGAACTTTCAGATTCGGGTCAGAAGCCATGGCGCCGAGGGCCATGATCGCGATTCCAGCTTTAAAGGGTAAAAGATCGGTCCGGTCGTGACTACCTCCTACATGGAGCTCAGTGCACCGGCCTAGTAAATTCTCGATTCTGCATACCTTCAGGAAATATTCCAATCGCACCCCCCGACTTAAGACGGTCATATACGTGCTCGTACATCTCGTGATGGTCGATATGAGGAAGCACTTTATAGTCCAATCCTGCTTTGCCGTCCTTTCTGAGCTTGATACACTGGTCTCTTACTTTCTTCGTTCCGATCGCACCATCCCCAACAGAAAATGGGCCCTTCAGTCGAGCTTCGGTGTCAGACAGAACTTCAGCGACCTGGGCGATAGCAGATGAAGCGGCCTTTGGGAGAAGAATCTGGTTCTTTGGGCCCAGCTGGGCGGTGAAGCTGGTGTTGATGCCATGGAGGAGAGTAGGATCGTCGTTGTCCAGATATACAAATCCCTTTCCCGCTTTTGCCACATCTTGAGCACGTTCGACAGCGACTAGGATAAGATCAGCATAGGTATGTCAATGGAGTGGAAAGAGGCTCACTTGCACCGAGGAGCCGTCCCAATGTCCCGATAAACCGCTCGCGCATGCTAGATGCTGCGACGATGAATCCGACATGCCTGTGCGACTCATTCCATACCTGACTTGCTAAGAGAACATCGAGAAACTGGTTGTGATGGGGAGCGGCAGCGAAGATGACGGGGCCTGTGCGAGGGATGTTGTATGCCCCTCTGGACCTGATCTCTCTGAAGAAGATGTTGAGGATAGTGCGACAGAAAGCGAGAGCGAGAGCATAAACCAATGTGGTCGACATGGTGGTATGAGAGAGAGCAGAGCTAAGGATAGTGTGCTCGTCGTTGATGCATGTCGACCGAGACCGTCAGTGGGGAATGGGGTCAGCGCATATGCCTGTCGTTGCCGTAAGGGTGCGTAACATGTCGAGCGTGATTGCCGCGAACGTGTGGGGCAATTACAGCTCCGGTCCTCTCCGTCTCGACGACGGGCAACACTCCTGAGACGATCATTATTTGCAGCACATACTACAATAATAAGATAGATAATACAAATACAACGTCAATCGTTCATGTACAGCAATAACCAGGGGGTTTCTCCTCCGTCTCCAACGAAAGTCCAGTTGATCCAGGCGCTGACCGGGCAGGTTTTATCCCAGACGGCTACATTCTCTGGTGAGTATGTCATACGAGGGGACAGAGGAAGACGCACTTTATGATGGTCGAATACACCCCGCTTAATCTTATCCAGGATATCCCTCACTGCACTCTCGAATGCCTGACCACAGATGAGCGATACGATGCTTGCTGCTTATGGAAATAAAGTACCTCTTCAATGTTCTCGCCGGTCTTCGCACTCCCCTCTAGAAAAAGTAAACCCTCCTCGTTGGCCCACGCAGCTGCTTCTTCCTTTGTCACGGCTCGCCGTCGGTCTCCTTCCTCTCCTTCCTGAAGCAGATCAAGCTTGTTGGCGACCAGAATGCATGTCAAGTTAGGATCGGCATGCTCTCGAACATCTTGAAGCCACGACTTGGCGTTGTTAAAACCTGCGTAATCATGAGAGCACTGCACGAGCGCCCAGACAGACCACCAACTTGTGCGCGACGTTGCATCATACACCAGCAATGCTCCAGCTGCGCCTCGATAATATGACCGTGTGATGCTCCTAAACTGCTCAGCACCAGCAGTATCCCATACTGTTCCTGAATGAGAAATACCGAAACGAGTCCGGCACAACAAGACGTACTCTGCACCTTTATAGTCTTGTCCTCATCCGCCAAATGCACCAATTTAGAACCAAACTCAACGCCGAGCTACTAGATCAGTCAATGGCTGCTCACGGTGCTAAGCGAAATACGCACTGTCGGATCTGGATTGGCCAGAAATCGAGAGTCGGTAAAGCGGATGAGTATGGAGCTCTTGCCAACGCCTGCGTCGCCGACAATGATGAACTTGATTATAAATTGCCTGCGACGATGTTATCTTGGGGCATTTCCTCATAATGCAGTGACAACCCACCAGGTAAGATCGGACATTAAAGCAACAAACAGTTGTTATAGTACACAGCGAAGCGAAGAGACCGTGGCATGCATGCGACCAGTGACCACCGAGACGGACAGGTGGCGCATGCTCACGACTGCGGGTATGTATGTGCACGCGACCCTGAGGACAGGGTTATCACGGATTGGTATTCTATGCGTGTAGGATAGTATACAGCATGCAAAACTAGCATAGTTAGTCCGAGCGTTTAATAGATATTCCAAGACTGCAGTTTGTCGTTCGTCAGAGGGTTCCTTTGGATTGTTCAACAAGCTCACCTTTCTCCACAACAAACCCTTGTAGTCCTGGATTGGGCCTTCAATTCCGAAAACGATACCTCTAAACCAGAGGAACGTCTCGATAACGGCCAGCGCGCAGAAGATGAAGACGGTCCATTTTGTGCGCTCCGACAAGCGTTTGGATTTGAATATGAAGTGATCCAGAAGATGGCCAGTCATCAGGACGGAGAACCATAAGGCGGGGAGCTGTACTTCTCGTTAGTAGACGGACTGCGTGAGTCAACTAGGGAATGGACGTGCATAATGATGGATGTATGTGACACGACCCATGGCCAAGAACGGGACTAAACACGTTTAATCTGACTGTTTGATCTGAAACGTGATCACTTACAGTAATGTAGGAACCAGCCTATCAAGGCGACTTTTCCGACGTACAAGACGTGGTCCCACTGACCTACAATATCCATTAGCAATGGCTCTGGTGGTATGGACAGGACATACCTGGCTCGAAATCGTTGTACCGCCGCTGCATCCTCAACAAGTACACGCCAAGGGCAACGAGAGACAGCAAGAGACTTGCTGTACCGCTCCACCAAACGATTGGATTGCCCAAGAGGTAGTATTTGATCTGCTGGTCCCCCCAACCGCACATTCGCAATCCCACATTCAGCCAGGGCCACTGGTAAGGTGTCGACGCCAGGATGTCTTCCTTGTCTGGGTCTGGGATGAGAGCGTTATTCGAGGTCATCATGGCGACATTGAGATGCCAGAAGTCACGGAAGAACGGTGAGCGGTAAAGCTTTACCTCGCCTCGAGGCACTGCGTATCGTGAGCAAACGTTATTAGTGCAAGAGAAATCAAGCTACGTACAACGGTCGTTCCAGTGGCTTTCAACGTTCCAATATGTATGAGCATCTCTCGGATTATTCTCCTTCACGCAAGATACTTCGACCTGTTTCCAACCCCATTGGGGAAGGATTGCATTGGCAGCTCGCAGATAACACCCTTGGGCGACGTGCTTCAGTCGTAGACGTGTTGTGAGAGAATGTATGCGGTGGACCTTGTCCTTGGAACCCATATTAAGATCATCCACCACTTCGACGGCCCAATGGTCTTGATGATCCCCGACAGTAGCATTTCCGTAACAACTGACCTCGTTGTTGAGTTTGGTAATCGGTGCTGGCAGGGGATGGGAATGCATATTCCGGCCGGTTGAGGCATGAATAAGTCGGACTGTATCCCCGTCTTGAAGGAAGCGAAGGTCGCCGTTTGGATCGTACTCCTTCTCGTCCCAGCGAGGCATAACCAGCCAGTGGTTATTGTCGTCTTTATAGTGGTAACAAGTGACCTGTTGCTGCTGCGAACCGGTAGGGTATGAGTGAGGATGAGAGTGAAGCAATCCGCCACCCCAACCCATGTTCTTGAGGGTGATCTTGGAGCCGTAGGCGACCTCTAAGTTCGATGTGAGTGAACGGGACAACACCTGCAGCGTTGTTTGCGTTACCGAGTGGATTCTGAGAGAAGTCGTTGCCTCGCAAATTGGCTTGGAATAAGGAGCTCATCTGGGCATCTCCAGGACCAGAGTGGTTCAAGATAAGGAAATGTATTTTGAAAGAGGCCAGGTACACCATAAAGGGTGTGATAATCAAACACAGGATTCGAGCCGCCCAATGCCGGAGGTAGATTCTCTAGTATACCGGCGCGTGTTAGGGCGGCGTCAAAGAACAACAATGTTGACGCACTATAGGCATTTGCAAATCGCCGAACTTCTCCCATAAATCCTCGATGGTGTACAGACCCACAAGCGCGGTGACGAAAAAGCCAACCCACTTCACGCTGTCTACGCAACCGATAGACACGCCGGTGAACGCAAGCCAGAACCACCACTCAAATGAAAATGATCTGTAGACCAGAATCAGCCTTGTTTGTAGTATTGGGCAATAGTACTCACCTCCACTGTTGATTATGGAACTTGGTGAGACCGAACACAGTAGTGAAAGTGAAGAACAAGAGCATGGAGTCAAGTAGAATGAATCGACTGATTGTAGCCCAGGCACAATCTACAGACCAATCCGTCAGCTATGGCAATCCAGATCGGAAGATGGACGATCTGACCGCAAAGTACCATGAGCGTGACAAGATGGCAGGCCCTTTGGCTAAAGCCCAACTCCACGGCGGTAAACCAACCGATGGGGACCATGCCGACACCGAAGGTTGCAAGAATCACCCGCATTGCGGTATACGGAACGTGGGAGGGGTACGCTTCGCCTGACTTGAACTCAAAAGAGCCATCGTAGCCGGACAACAGCCCGGCTAAACCGACGAGCATCTTCCCAAGCGGGGGATGCACGTCGAAGTAGAAATCCCGCTTGAGGTAATGCGAGCCGAATTTACCGAAATGGGCCTAATGAAACCATCAGACAAAACATCTCATGGGCGTATTCTGCCTCACCTCATCCCAGACTACCACGTTGGATTTTCCGATTTGGTAATACCGAGTAAAGGCGGCAAGGAGCGTGTAGATGACGGGTGGGATCCACTCCCAATTTTGTTGAATAAATTCAGTCTGTGACACAGTAAACATGCCATCTACGCATAAATATTGACGATGACTCACGAGCGTTGATGGCGGCGGCAAGCGACGCGGTCGGACATGCTGCTGGCCTCTAGGAAGGAATTTGGCATGCTTAGCGCTCAAGCCCTTCCCGTCGGCGTCGTCCTGCGATGCGCTTTGATCATCGTAGACAAAACCTTCCTCCTTTTTTGAGTTCCCATAGCTGGAAGAGGACACGTTCCTCCTGCGTGTGCTCTCTTCCGCCATGGAATAGTGAAGCGGTAGACCTTCGTCGTCTGTCGGGTCCTGGTAAGGGTCGTTTACGTGGATGAAGGACGCGTCGTCGTCTTCAGGTAAGAGAGCCTCTGTGAAAGAAAGATTGTGGTAGGTTGCTAACAGCGGGGGCAGTGAGCGGGGCGGCATGTAGAGCAGCCCGTTTCAAAAAGAATTTGAAGTTGAGATGAAAAGCGTTCGTCGACGACGGCGACCAGGGCCAGGGGATGCCGATGGGGACTGCACCAGACGGAGGCAGTTCTCCTTTACAACGCTAATTTTGGCATCCCGTCCTTACCGGATCATCAGAACGTACATAATGAAGATATGTAGAGATGTGCATTGACAACAGAACGTATGCTCCCAAAAAGATAACTACAAGGTATCCTGAATGGAGTCGCAGAAAGCGTACTGCAGCGAATCTCTACTTCTTCGGTGGTCTCTTCCTCACCTCTTCCTCCTTGATCGGGTGCAGCATGATCTTGTTCGGATGACCACTCACATTACCAGTGTATCCTTTCGACCAGTCGTAAGACACCGCATATGCAAAGACAGTGCCGCTTGCGTTGAAACATGTTGTCGATATAGAGCTCTTCGTTGGTTCAAAGCCTGTCATGTTCTCAGTTTGAAACACAGAAACGAAAAGAGTGTCACGTACTTTTCAACCGACTTCTTGCATCTTTATCCCAAAAAGTAAATCCTCCGTCGGAGCCAGCAGTCGAGAATGTGCCTTGAACTGGGTGGAACTTGATATCGTTCACGGAGTACACATCATCCTGTGACTTCGTAGGCCCATCCTTCCGGTGGCATCGGAAAGAGTAATTGGATGTCGTGTTCTGTTCGTCGACATTGCTGATGTGAGGTCAGCTCATCACACGCCCCTAGATAAGTGATCCATACGCACTGGATTGCCACCCTCCCTTCTATGCTTCCTAGTGCAAATCCGTCCGCGCTTGGGAAACATGTTATACAACGGGTTTGTTGTTTCAGCGGGCTTGGTATACTCTGGCAATAATCAGACGGTGTCACTAACTCGGCCCTCTCAGCCGTACGTACGCGGTGGATAGTACTAGGATTGGTTAGATTGATCATTGCGATTTGGCGGTCGCCAGTTGCCGCGACAAGTAACGGGTATTGGACGTCCATCCCGTAAACCTTGTGTGTCAAGGTGACAGTAGCCACTGGTTGAGATGATCGCATGTCCCAGTACTACTTCAGTCAGTGGTACGCATTGTACTTGGTCATATGGATCCTTACTTTGATCAGTTTATCCCAACCCCCGGTGGCCAGCACGTTGACCTGATCCACCCAACGCACAGCCTTAATCGGTTCGTCGTGGACAGCGACCTGCGTGGACTGTCCCGAGGCTACATCGTACACTTTGGCGATCTTGTCTGCACCACCGGAGAATACTTTCGAACCATCCTTGAGAGATGTGAGATAAAAAGGAGAAGACGGTGGCGAACACACTTACTCGACTCCAACACACAGACAAAACAGGCTGTTCATGTGTGTACATAAACTTGCCCTGCGTCACGCCCGCCGGTCCCATCTCATATGCACGGACCTGTAGTGCATTCAGTATGCAACAGGTAACACAAGGTACGAGGTTGCTCACAGCATTATCCCATGTACTTACAGCCAGAATATCGGCTGTGGGTGAGAAAGCCATCCATGAGATAGAGTCTGTGGGAGGTTGTTGTACCTCAACATCCTTGGAAACGTCTCCAAGAGTAGCAGTTGTGCTTGTACTCGCTGCTGAAGGGAAGAAGGACATGATGAGGACAGGAGCGGCAACGAGGAGGAGCAGGAAAACAATGACTACATGTCGACGCGCCGCTCTTCAAGCGCCCAACGCGTGAGCCCTGAAATGTGTGACCTGCGGGATATGAGAATCATGGGAAAAGCTTCATACAACTACTACAATTAATATCTGTGTAAAGGTCAAGGTGACAGGTGTATATAGATACATGAGTGTAATATAGAAGCTACGGTGTCGATTATGCCGGTACCTTGTCTCTCATCCAGAGATCGTAGAATACCGGGACTACACGCGGTGAAGAAACAACACGAGATCATTTCTTAGGTGGCCGCTTCTTCACCTCATCCTCCTTCACCGGATGCAGCATAATCTTGTTGGGATGACCGGTTACATTGCCAGTGTGCCCTTTTGACCAATCGTATGAGATGGCATATGCAAATGCTGTCCCGCTTGCATTGAACGCAGTAGCGGAAATGGGATTCAGACCGCTGTCAAAGGCTGCAAAGCACACATTAGGACAGAAGTTGAGGAACATAAGCAGCCACATACACTTGAGCCTACTACGGGCGTCCTTATCCCAGAAGGTGAAAACCCCGTCTGCTCCAGCAGTAGAAAACGTTCCCTGCTGGTGGTGGAAGCTGATGTCGTTCACCGCATAGACTTGCCCTTGATCTTTCGTTCCAGGTGAATCCCTTCGGTGACATTTGAAGGAGAAATTTTGATTGGTGATCTTCTCATCCACGACTCTGAGTCGCGATCAGCAAACATCTTGAATTGTATACAGACTTCTCTTACTGAATGGCAACACGACCTTCTACACTTCCCAGCGCAAACCCATCCCCAGTTGTGAAGCAAGCGACGCATCTCGTCTGATGTTTTAACGGGCTTTGTATTGTCTGAAAAGAATGAGTATGGATCAGACATCTCCATCTTGAGAACATACCCGAACGATCTGAGTTGGATTTTGGAGATTAAGCATGCACACATTACGCTCAGCGGTGCCGACCACCAACAGTGGATACTGAATGTCCATTGCGTAGACTTTGTGAGGCATCTGAACTGTCGCAACCGGCTGTTGCTGACGAGTATCCCAGTACTACAACAAAGAGAAATGAATCCTCATTTCTAACCTCGTGTTCAAGGCCAGGTACATACCTTAAGGGTTTTGTCCCAGCTCCCCGTCGCCAATACGTTTGCTTGATCCACCCACCGAACATGTCTGACAGCATCCTCGTGCACGGCAACTTGAGTCGTCTGACCAGTGCTTACGTCGTACATCTTGGCGAGCTTGTCTGCACCTCCGGAAAAGAGCTTGGTACCGTCCTGATGAAGATCATCGGCTGAGAACTTCTGGAGACGCTGAGATCACGCACCTTGCTCCAACACACGGACAACACAGGCTGGTCGTGATTATACATAAATTTGCCCGCAGTTTGTCCGCTCGCCATAACCTCGTACGCTCGTACCTATATCCTCATTTAAAAACAACAACACATTGAGGAATAGCGCTGCGCACTCCATTATCCCAGCTGCTCACGGCAAGGATGTCAGCGGTTGGTGAGAAAGCTAAGCACGAGATGGAGTCCGTTGGTGGCTGCTGAACTTCGATGTCCTTCGATAGATCACCAGGGGTGGCAGCAGCTGCAGTGCTCGTGCTTGCTGTTGCTGATGAGAAGAACGACATGTTGAGGAAAGTGAAGGGTATATGCGAAAGCAGTCCTTTTTTGTTGTCAGGCGCGACTGGCCAACCTAGCGCGTCGCCGGAGGCATTCAGCAATACCTGGAGTGTTGTTTTTTGGTTCTCGAGGTGCGGAATTCAATTACGAATTAAAACAATATTCTACAATCACTTTGCTTTCACGTATTACAGGAGATGAGCTACAGCTATGTAGACACGTAATCATATCATGGTGCCCTCGGTGAGCGCGGTCCTACTTGCTCTCTATTGCAGGCAATTGTTTTAGCACTTGTGAAGCGGCATCTTCCTCGGCGTCAGCTGCAGTAAGACCAGCTCCTGTCACCTTGATGTTCAACGGGGCACCGATAACCAGAGGTATCTCGATGTTGCGATCGCCGTCACGACAAACACCCAACTGAAAGATGCCCCAGGGCTTGTAATTCATGTCCACAGTGGGATAGTGCTTGCGCATGTACTCATCGAGCTGCAGCTTACATCCAGAAAGGCCTTCAACTGCAGATAAAAGGGTGAGGATATGTTCTACTCAGATCGATGAGTAGCTCACATGTCCTTTTTATCCTCTTGACTGGTCTTTGTGGTCTTTGCGGCGAATGCGCTTTTTTGACAGTGTCCTCACCATGCCCCTCGCATAATTCCTTTTCTTTTCGTTTTGGTGGACGCCAAGTATCTTCGATCTGCACGGCCGGACTGTCCTCGTGCTCGTCTATCACTGCTGCCAGCTGGCGTTTCGGAGGATGCAAGTCAACTGGGATACGCACGGCGGGTTTCTGAGCCTTGTTGCCTGGGCTGTCTTCTTTGAGCGCCAGCGGAGGCAAGCCATCTCTGATTCGCAGTTCGTCCGGAGAAAGACCATCGTTTTCGAAGACACGACGTAGCGGCTCTGGCCTGGGTTTGAACTTCCGTTGGCCCCCGTGCCCGCGCCGGGGCCCGTTAGCACGATCTCGCCCATTTTCCTCGTTTCCTGTAAAATCAGGCCGTGGATATAATGTTGGGCGCTCGGGAAGATTGGGGTGGGAGGCCTTTCCACCACAAGAGTTTTGAGCTGATTGTGGCACGGAGCAGGAGTTTGATCCTGCAACGGTCTCTTCAACCTTCATCTGAGCAGCGCTGTCAATCTCATTGATTGAAACCCTTTGTGAACAAGTCGTCGTCATCGTCAAAATGGGATGACTTCTTTGATTGTTGGCTCGAGATAAGTGTGATAGAGAGGAGATCGCATGTACTCTCTCTTTTTGCTTGGCTGTGGGTTTCTCGCTCGAGGGTGGAGACGGTAGGAACAGTGTTGCGACCGTAACAGGTGTAATCATACCTATCTTGGGGGCTGCGACGTTGCTGACGGGGTTTTGTAGAAACATTCCAGCCATCGGCTGGACATCCGTACCTTCCTCTACGGTGGACGGCTCTCTACCCGTTAATCAGATTAAGTACATCATTGGGTAATAATTGGATTCGTACATAGCTTCGAAGCTCACAGGCGCCGACTCGGTCAGGCGGCCTTTCTTGCTCCTTCGGCTAGGTACGGCCGCCTTTTTTTCTTCATGCGTGGTGATACTTCTGAGGAGCGCGGACCTTTCAAGATGCGCGACAAGTGCCTCGCGGCAGTACTTGTAACTGACGGTCATGTCATGGTTGTTGTGCACGACGATAGCCCCAACAAACGCTTGAAATGTGTCGGCCAGGATTGGTGTCGTCACGATAGAAGCATGGTTGGCAACAGCAGCGATACGTTGCGGGAAGTCACATTCGATGGCTGCATCAGCTAGCAACCCCAATCCCGATAGAATTTGCGCCGTTTTCGCCTGCCATTGGATAAGAACTTGGTTTTCTATCAGGTGAGAAAAGCTCACCTTGTATACATCAGCCGTAGCACCGGGAAACAATGAGGGGAGCTCCATCAATACAACCAGTTGAATCAACATATTCCCCAAAGATTGCAGATGACGGAAGGCCTCCGGTCGCTCTTTGCCCTCCAGACCGCAGAACACGATTTGCAGGGTTGCCTGGTCAAGGAGCTCATATGCCATGGCAACTGGAGTCGCCGAAACGATAGATGAATCGGGCATCGCGTGACGAGGATGCAAGTCATCGGCAGGGACGATCGTCACTTCGGGAACGGCTGCACTCGCATCTAGGCAGGAAGGATGCCACGCGTTGACGAGCAAAGGAAGATGAACTCCGACCGCTGAACTGGAGACGCGTTTCAGAGGGGTACTGGTAATGGCGCGAAGGGAAGCATTCTCCACAGACTTTGGCTTTGGGGCGGGTAGGATGACAGTCGTTGAGATGCAAGAAGCCGCGGAGAGGGTGTAAGAGGTGGTGGCAGGGACGACCAGAGGTACAGTATAATCGCCAGAACACATCGAAGTATTGAGTGGTTTATGAGTCACTGACTCCTTGATACGTACGATGGCATTGGACGCCATGGCAGGATCGTCGGTTGCCGATGGAGCAGGAGTCGCAAGAACAAGGCCAGTCGTCAGCAACGCGTTGACAGATAATCGGTGCTTCTTAGACTCTAGGAAGGAATATTTTGGGTCCTTCGACCCAATGCGCAAGTTGAAGAACGCCTTGCCCGACATACTTTAGTTGAAGGTGATGCGAGATAACTGAGGGGACTCAGGAAGGTGGTAGAGGTAAGTAAGAGGTTACGCACATACTTTCAAATAGACGGTAGAGAGGAAGCGAAAACGGTGAGAAGATTGCGGCGGCTGGTTTACCTTTATATATATCAGCGAGAAGGAGGGGGAATTCCTTTCTTGCCGCTCTCCATAAAGGGTATAATTCTATGGTTCCACACGTGATGGACCACAGAAGTGATGGATGTCTGGACCGAGTAGGACGCGTTGCGTCCCTCGGCGCAGTCTATACCCGCTTTTCCGCCTTGAAATTTTATTTCCCTTGTTATTGGAGGGAGATATTGTCCTCTTCTTTAGACTTCCGCGACGTACAAGATTGTTGTGGGAACATGTGTTCACATCTTCGGCCAAAACATCTCCTCCAGGTGGAGAACGCGGTACATAACGCCTTCCGCCTTCTCGCAGCTACTGTCATTCCTGTCCACTGTAACACCGAGTTGGTCGACAACCTCGCCAAGTTCATCGACAAACTGGCGGAATTCGGGGTGGCTCCAGTTATGGATAAATTTGTCTAACGCCGCAGCAGCAGGGCCCGGTGTCTCGGCCGGGGAGCATTGGGACGCGAAAGTCCATGCTTCGAGGTAGCACTGCATTGGAATGTAAGTAATTGCCGTATAAAGTCCGCATATGGGGTCGTCATGCCTTTTCCTGTTCGAGAGGTTCAGGGACGGCTATCCGATACGAAAATATGCTTACAGTAGCCCAGAGTAGAACAAGGGCTTCCTCAATTGTTCCCTGAGTTCCAGTTGCAATCATAAAATCGACATACGCGGCAGTATCAGGTAGGGGAAGCATGTATGGCCGCACTTCGCCCGACAGGATGGCCTTGACGCCAGCCGGAACTGTGCGTATATCGAGACCATGTTCCTCAGCCTGACTAAGGAAAAACGCCTGCTCTTCTGAGACGTTGTTGAGGCCCGTACTAAGGAGTTTGACTAGCTGTCTCCGGACGTCGAGGGGTGCTTCGGTGTACCGGGAGAGGATTAGCCCGACAAGCTTGAGGTAACCGCGGGTGTAGATATAATCCTGTGTCAACCAGGCTGAAAGCGTCTCCTTGTCGAGAGTGCGCTCCCCTGCGGCCTTCAAGAACGCATGTCGAGTCGCTCGTTCATATGAAGGTGAGAAGGTGGTAAGGAGGTGACTGGTCAGGGATGCAGGCATGGTAACAGTGTAGAAGTCAGGGGTTAATTGCAGGACAATAGAAACGCTATCTTATCTCGGATTTCTTCCGTTGATCGGACATCGGATTAACATTGTCGATATATTCAGATCGAGTCCGATCCGTCTGTCATCCGCTATGCAACTATCTCCAATATCCGATACTTTCACTGTACAACCGACACAATTTGACTTCGGTTTGTAGTTCATAATAATTAAGAATTTTTATCCCTCTCAGTCCTGCAGATAATAGACGCCGAAATTAGCGACTGTTTTGGTTCGGAGTGTGCCGGCTCGGCATCAGGGGTCGTGTGCTGCGGAGACTAGGCTTGGCACACCCTCAACATATAACAACACGTCAAGTCAGCATCTTTGGGTTGCCAGCGCTCCTTTTCCCTCTACCAAAGGGAGCACGCTCCCCTAAGAGCGACAGTGCCTACGCTATGTTTGTCACCTCAAGGTTACTGTTCTTCTACCTGGCAATATTCGTCGGCGCCAATGTCGCCTCTCCGGTGGGACTGAACTGCTTCGATTGTCCCGGGACCAACAAGCACGGCGCGGGGAATTCGTTCCAGGACATGCACCACGGTGGGCTCATCTGCTTTTACTCGGGAATGTCTGCGGCTTGTTCTTACGAAGCAGTATGTCCAATGCTCTCCTCTGACGTTAAGATTCGAGACTGACCACTAATACAGACAACCGGTGAAGCGTGGCGGGAAATACCATCAGACTGTCTTCCAACCGCCCAGCCCGTGCACTGCTCAACAGAGCACGACTCTTCTTCTCCAGCGGCCCGGCCACCTGTTAAGGCGGGATCCATCATGGGCGTCATGAAGGGCAAGATGGGGAACAGGCTGACCGCGCAGCAACGGGAAGAGAAGGCGCGCATCTTGGCAGACTTATTGGCTGGGGGACAGTTTGGCGCATGACATTTACGGGACGATCTGTTGTAATTTTCGATTGTGAACAATGCATCATCAGCTTCTGTAGTGTATCTTCTTTCTGACGTGCTTTCCATGCTCTCACGGCGGGCCCCCGTGTTCCTAAACTTCCCACCGGTGGGTACCAGCGCATCATACAATCACACTGTATGATTCAGTTGGTATAAATACAACATGGCAAGACTACTAATGGGTGGAACGAAAGTGTGAAACAAAGGCCAGATGTTGTGATACGGAGCTATGATGCTCAAATGGGTGGTTACTGGGTATGGATTGATGGGAATCTTGCGATCGGATATCGTTAGCGCCTCTTCTTGTACTTGCCTTCGTGATCAAGGCGCAAGGAGGGGTCCATGGAATTGCGAATGCCGAGTGCCACCTTGCTCAAAGCTTCGGTCGCACCAATGAAGGGCTTCAGGACGGCAATTGGGACAGCCCGGACAACAATGCGGACGGGTCCCTGCAATACGTGGTCAGTGCTTGCCCAAGCAAAGGAAACAGAACTTGCCTCGTCGTTTGGTCGCTCGTACACTTCCATAGGTACAGCCAAAATAGTCTGAGCAGCAGAATGCATGTTCTTGCTCAGACTCTTATAAGCGGCTTGCATTCCTTCTCGGAAATCTGCTGGCTGATCCGCGTATTTGCTGATGTGCTCAGGCCGCTCAGGGCGTTCATCACCAGATTCCTCTTCGCTCCAGTCGTCAACCAATTCCGCCGTCACGGGCGAACTGAAGTTGCCACCTAGGACATGCTCCGCCTGCTCGAGGATAACTTGTGTGCCGGTAGCCAGTTGGGCGCCGACCTTCAAAGCTTCCATCGCCGTCGATTTCATAAAGGCTCCTGCGCCCTTCTGCAGTCCGCGGACGATACGCTTGTCTTTGCGGTACTGGCCAATAGGCAGAAGCACTAGGTCGGCCATGCCAGATCCCACGTTAACAACCGATTTGATTGGATGAATGCCGGACAGAACTTCAGCTAGCTGATGCGCCTTGACGTCTGGAGTCCACATGTCGTTGAGCAACTCTCCGACCTTGGCCCACCCAGTTATCTATGTATCATCAACATAGAGTCGGTCAAGTAAATATGAACTTACGCCCGACAATTGAATATGTCTTAACGTGATTTCGGCCCCGTCCCAGTGGAAGAAATTCATGAGCTCGATGGTCCGCCCATCGCGAAGAGCTCTGTAGTCGACACGTTTGGGCTTATAGTCAAGCTTCATGTCAACAGGGAATACCTCGACATGCTCTAATATATTATTGAGCAAGGTGTTCCGCTTTCGTCAGTGTGGAAAGCCTTACGGATGAAAGCGTCTTGTGGGGCAGCTTCAGTCGGTTGAACGACAGTTCCCGGCCTTTGGAACATGAAGAACTGCTTGATGAAGTCCAGCGCATCCTGGTCTACATTGAGCTTTAACGGAAGAAGTTTGGCCTAGACATAATGGTCTGTCAACATGTGGTGGATCCGGCGATTATACTCTCACCCTGAGTCGCGCCTCCTCTGTTGGTTCATCTGGCTTAGGCCGCACACTACGAAGCTCTACGCGTACCATGTCCGCTCCAGCTTCGCGCACATTGCCACGAAGATCGGTGTGCAGATCCGTCAGAAACTTTTTCCATGTAGAGGTCTTAATATGATCAAGAATTTCGAAGTTCCTCGACATGATCAACAGTCGGGAGCCCAAAGGATCACGACTGCCCATTTGGTCAAACTCGACAGATAAGCCACTGGCACAGAACTGGATCCTAGCCCCATGAGAACGAGTAAGACGTTTCCCTTTGCTTCGAGAAGAGCGAGGCTGTGGTCGAGGCGAGCTCCTGGGGAAGGAAGACCACGAACTGGCTTGGCTGGCTGTTTCCGCTTCATCATTCAGCTCCTGGTCAATAGCCGCGATTAAACCTTCCGTGTCTAAGTCGTCCGCGTCTGGAGGAAGACCGATGTAAACTGAGTTGAACAGGGTAGCGCCAGCATCCTCCACGCTTTCATCAGGCGTTTGACCTTCGGCAAGGAGCTGCCTGATCTTCGCAAGACGTCGCCGGACGGCCTTCACTTCCTCTTCGATGGCTTTGCGAGTCGGCGCCCAATCATACCCGTCGTGCATGCTGAAGGTCAGGTCGCAATCTCGTATGCGAAGCCTGAATCTGGAATCCGCTAGTCTAAACAAGTACAGGTCAGAGAATGCAAGTTCCAGATATTGTCTGACTTACTCAGGGGATGGCTTGAGTAAATCCGCAGCTCTTGCCTCGTTGTAATAGTCCTCTGTTATGTACAGCGCTTCCGGATGCACCATTCGAATTGTTTCGCCTTCATGCTGGGAAATAATCTCAGGATCCAGGATTCGGACATTCGCCAAAGTTTGTTCTGGCGATTCAATTTCATCAAAATCATCGTCATCCTCTGTCCCCGGTCCCAGGGCTTTGTATCCTCTACGAGGAGGGAAGGATGTGCCTAGATAGTCCTCATTTGTAGGCAAGTCATCTTTGATCATGTCCGGAATTGACCCAAGCTCGGGCACTTGACGGAAGGCGTCCTCCTCGATACTCGCTGTTCCAGCATCAGCATACGCAGTGAAGAAAACTGAAACGCACAAAAACTTACATAACAGACCCTTACTATGTCTTTTCATAGGCTCAGGTGCTCTGACGGTGTTGGGATAGATGCGAGGAGACGGCGGTCTAAGAATATTGATCAGCTTCTAGCGAGCAAGGGTGACTCCTGCCATACTCCTTCTTTCCGAGGGTACCCATATCTGCGATGAAGTCTCCAAGAGCACCGAAGGTATCCGCGCACGCGTGGATGCCTACGATTAAGCGTACGATGGTGACCTACAACAGGTAAGATAGAATGACCATATCAACATATTGCCCACCTCGGTTTGTGGTCTCGCGTCTTCACCGCCACTACGAATGGTTGTCTCAAGTTCACCAACTTCCAGTAGGGACGCATATCCTTCGCGCTGGGAATAGGGTAAGGCAAAGTTTGTTGCTAAATAGGGGATTTACCTTCCAGAAATCGTACCCCGGGGAAGGCACGTTTCGATGATTTCGATATCGTGATGTTTCCCTGGCGGTCACCGGATTATCAACTAGCATAAGATGAAGCGCCCGCGCTGAGACATCAGCAGAAGATGTGGGGCTGTTCGCGACAATAGAAGTGGACAGATTCAAGTCGCCCATGCTGAGAGCGACACAACCTGGATAATTGGGCGCCAAAATACGGACGGAAGCGGATAGCAATTGTGCAGCAACAAATGCCTTCTCTGTCGGAACAGCGTTTTCGAAAGCCTAATAATGACATCAGAAGAGGTTTGCAACATACGTCTTACCACATACGCCAGCAGGAGCTTGGAAAAATAAGCCGAGATGATGGGCAAACGCAAGGTCCGGGGGAATTGACAAAGTGAAGCCGTAACCGGTGACCTTAATTGTGTTTTGCTTGAGTCCGGTCTCCGCGTTTGTGGCGGACACAAGCTGTACGTGCAACGTTGGTCTTGCTCCAACGCTCTAGAAAACGTGATCAGAATATTTCTCATTTGTTTGGTGATGGACAAACCAGTGATCGTGGAGCTGTCTGATCAAGCAGGGTCAATGATCCCGTGGGTGCAGTCTCAATTATGCCAACATCAACAGCGGATACGGAGAGAACCATTTCATGCTGGACAAGAATGAGATCTGTACAGTGAAAAGAAGTGACACAAACAGACCTTTTCACCTGACTTCAGCTCCGCGATCACGTCCACATCAGACAGCGTTAGTTCAAGCGGTCGGACTTCTGCATACTCTCGAGGAATGAGCAGCTTGATGGAAACTAGCAATTGATGTTGGGTTAGCACATAGCAGCATAGTCAAGAGAGCTATCCTTGACCTTCAGAGACAAGGATCTTGGCCGCTGCCCCCCCTGATTTCTCTGCAGGTGCCAGGGTAGTCGCGGTGGATGTTGGCGCGAGAGCTTGCACCTTTGTCGCAGCATGAGTCAAGTCGTCAACATACAACTGAAGGTTGTCGAGAGTCTTCTTGTTAAGCTGGATCCGGATCTGAGGAATATTGGCGTCGACCTCGATAGAGGCCGACGGCACAGACAGCTTGGCGGCAGAGGTGTACACCGAAATGCGCGGAAGCAGGGGAGCAGCCTGGTCCAAAGGGGACGTAGAAACTAGTAGCAACGGTGTAAGGGAGATAAATGCCGCAGCAGTCAAGTCTGCAGAGTAGCATGAGTCGATTGCAGTGGACTGTGCCCAAGTCTACTCACCGCTCGCGGCATGGAAAGCAACCATGAGGCGTTTACATTCCACAGTTCCTACCAACGTGCGTTCGACGCGCTTTCCATGCCATCGCACAATCTCGCGCATAGGTTCAGCCTCCCCAGTAACAAACCGAAGAGAATGGAGATCCACGACCAACGTCCCTGACCGAAGTTCCGTTGCTGGGGGAATCGGTGCCGGCCTCAACAGGACACGGACTAACGAGAGGGTCAACAGGAATGTGGGTGGTGGACCCTTCTGTATCAAATCAGACTAGGACGTGATAATTAAACGGCAAAAGCGAACCTCGCAATGGTCGTCTTCTAAATCATCCAGCAGATCTTTGACCCGGCCAGTGGTAGGCAGCCCCTTGGATGAGCGTCGACTAACTTCTCCAACAGGAATGGGGATCTGAGGCTGGCCCGTCTTGAAGACATCGGCGAATGGCACAAACTGGTCAACCAGACTGAGGTCGAGATGCACCTCCACAGGCAAAATTTCCACAGTCGTCGTATCGGCGACAGCATCTCCGGCGCCTTCAGCTGCAACAGCAAACTCATGCCGCGCGCGGATAACTTGGGAGGTAGCTTTCCGAGGAGCTGGAGTCCATGGCGAAGGAGAAAAGATAGGGAATAGCGCCTTGCCAGAGGGGTAAGGATCCGATAACGTTTCAGAGAACGAGATGATATCGTAGGACTCTGCGTCTCCCGAGCATCTCCAGCCAATCGTCACATTTCCGATCTCGCAGTCAATGCTGCGTTTGGCCTGTCTTGATCTTGCTCCTCGATTCCGTCCTGATCCGTACGACGTTCTCCGAGTTTGAGCAGGAGAACCTACGGAACTGAGTTGAGCAATGGGCGGGGAGGAAGACAAGGCTATCGCAGCTCCAAGGCTAGTGGAGAAACCGGCCGAAACAGTAGATATAGCAAGAAGGAGATGTGACATCGGTGGCTCGAAAGTTGTATTGCACAAGCTGTCCAGCGAGAGAGTGCCGAGATACGGCATGGCATACGCCATACACGCCCCAAGATTAAGTTGAGCTTGCAGACCTGGCACCGATACAGGCTCTGCCGGCCTACCTGGCACGGCTGGGGACATCGCAGACGGAACAGACACTTGCGAGACAGTAGACAGAGCTAAGCTGATCACTTGTGGTGTTATAATGGACCGGACCACAGGTAGGTCGATAGAGATGGATGTCTGACGCGCAAAGACAGTGGCTGCGGGGAGGAGCGATGTGGATAACTGAGCTTCCACACTTGGAAGAAAGAGAAGTGGCAGCACACGATTTGGTGGTACTGGCGGCGTTTCTGAAATGGAGAGAACCGAAGCAACGGATTCTGGGAGGCTATCGTATGCTGACGCATACATGCTCTCGCCAGGTTCAATGCTATCACCAAGAGGTGTATGACAGGACTCGATGTCTGCAGGTTCTTCAAGAGCTTGAGCGAATATGCGTAGATCTTTCGCATAAGCACGTCCACCCGCTTCGGCTTCGGCTTCTCGCTGCACGCCCTCATAGCCTGCTTCTCCGAGGGTGAGGACCCACTCCCAACCAGCCTTGGGATCGAGGATCCGGATGGTGATGTCGTGCAGTTTCAGCGAGAATCTTGAGACGAGTCGTGCAAGGATGGAGGTGAGAATAGAAACCGCAGGTGGCTCGTTTGACTCCTCCGGAACATCCGCTGATATGAAAGAAGCAGATCCATCGAGGGGCTCGTTGATTGTCATGAAAGGGTCAATGGAACCGGGGATTTCCGTTCGCCCAGGTGATGTTCCGGGGCTGTAGACCGGTCGGGAAGTAGGAGCAGTAGCAGAGTCGATAATCGAAGCCTCTAGGTCTCTTCGAAGTGCTCGACCCTCTTCATTCTCCGCCATCACCTCACCGACGAACTCAGTAACACTCTGGGCGAGATCGGGTTGATGAGCAGCATCGGAGGATGAAACAGAGGATAGTGTGAAGGAGAGGGATAGACCAGAGAGACTCAGTGCTATGGGAGCAGTAAGAATCCCTGGTAAGCTGAAGGACATAGACGCAAGGTGGGACGATGTCAGTCGAACAGGGAGGCCAGGGATAAGCGCGTTGATCGCCTGTACACTTCATGAGCTTTGGAAAGATTAAACAGGATATCCCAACGGACCTCTTCCTCTAACTCGACATCCTTGACTTCCACCCATCCTCGTCCCACCTGTGTATCTAGCTTGTCGATCTCAACGCCACCCCTCTTGAGCAGGTGGCCTATCGACCTGCGAATGGCGAATGAAAGGAGACGGTTCTGAATCTGAGCTGGTACATTGAAGGATGGCAAGCGAATTGATGGTATATACGAGTACCAGTTCCAAAAAGAAGAAGACATTGCAAGGATATTGTGAGAGATGTGTTGTTACAGCAGGTCGTCACCCCTCTCATCCAAGCTCGCGAGTCGATGGTGAAGGCGTGCGCCGCGTTACCCTCACCAAAAGGAGATAGGGACTCATCGAATGACGCCAGGCTACTATGTACGTAACACGGAGGCTTAAATGCACGTGATGACGGAAGCTAAAACTTCAGGGAGTGTGGGGGGCCTATGCAAAAATCATCGCAGCCCCTCAACAACATCCACTCTTGACATCTCTGTTCCCTACCATCATCTCATCCATCTTAACATCTCTTTTACTCTTTTACCACATCTCACAACAAAAAAACCTAAATGGCTGGACGTGGATGCTTTAATTGTGGTGGTAGTACGTGTTGCTGTTGATTACGTATCGTGGCGGGTCGCACCGTTTTCTTGTTTTGGGCCAGCGAAAGGGTGCAGAGAGCGCTTATTTGCCTCTCTGCCCCCTTGAAGCAGTTGTCATTTCCTCCTGAGCTGTTTGTCATTATGTGTTGAGTGGTGCTGACGTGGTGTTTGGTGTTCTTGTTCGCTCGTGGTCGTCGGTTGTCGCTGTCGTCGTATTCGGTTACGTCGCTGTCGTCGATATGCATTCGTCAATATAATGCCCCTTCGCACGCTCGCATTCCATTGCATCTGAAACCCAAAGTTGGCCATCAGGCTGCTGCCTGCCCTAAGGCTGGTACCCCAACTTGCTACAACTGCGGTCAGGAGGGTCATGTTTCCCGTGACTGTACCATGGAACCCAAGCCCAAGGCGTGCTACAAGTGCGGCCAAGAGGGCCATATCGTGCGCATATATGAACGTAAAGGATGTATCCTTGTGTTGATGATGGCAATTCCCTAGTCTCGCGAGTGCCCCAACGCTGCTGATAGCGGTGCCGGTGCTGGCGCCGGCGGGTGGAGTTCCAGTGCCCAGAACGCGTTCGGTGGTGCCCGCAGTGGCCAGGAGTGTTACAAGTGCGGCAAGGTCGGCCATATCGCCCGTGCCTGCCCTGAGGCCGGTGGAGCTGCCGATGGCGGGTACGGTTCGTTCGGCGGTGGAGCCTTCGGTGCTCGCGGCAAGACTTGGTAAGCCTGCGTCCGTTGCCTGACCATGGGTTGACGAGTTCATATAGCTTCACCTGCGGTGGTGTCGGACATCTCTCCCGCGATTGCGTCCAGGGCGCCAAGTGCTATAACTGCAACCAGACTGTTAGTTCGTCTTGGTCCAGTCATTCGATTCCTTACATTTTTGTTTATAGGGTCACATCTCGAGGGACTGCCCCGAGCCCCAGAAGCGTGCTTGCTATACGTGCGGTTCTGAGGGTGAGTTATTGGCTCCTCTCGTGTTACTCGCCGTTGTGACATCTTCTCCAGGACACATTTCCCGTGATTGCCCCAACGGCGCGACCGCTGCCGCATAATCGGTCGAATGTCTGAAGCAAGTTCTCGTCCCCATGTACAACTCTGTGGGCCGGCCAAGCCGTGCCGTCTCTCTCTCTTACTCTGATGATCTTGCCGTAGTGTTTTGTTTTTGAAAAGAGAGTGCGCCTCTCATCGTCATGTTTTACCTTTTGTTGTTTGTGTTGAAGGTCGTACTGCCATGAAATGCAAGAAGGGATTGTTGGCGTGCTCAAATTGATTCACGAGGTCTCGTTATCGTGTGATCTGTCTGTAGATATGGATAAATTCGTTCCATTTCAGTTCAGCGGCGTGCAGTTTTGTCATGCTTGTCACCCTAGTCCATATTAATGCGGTTGCCTCCGCTTACTCTCCTAATACCAGACTGCCGCCCAGCCACCTACCGAGATCGCTGACTTTGCTCTATCACCCGTCACTGAAACAGCTATTCTGAGCACCTTACATTATTCGACCCTCGCCGTATTCGTGGAATTCTGGGAAAAAATGGTCCTCTCGCGCCTTCTGAGCATCTCATTCACTCTCCTCGGTGCCACGATCTGTGCCGGACGGGTCCCTGACCCTTCCCGACTGCGGTAACAGGGCATTCCTATTCGGCGCATACAAGACCGGCCTTCTTCTCGCAGTCTACCTCCTATCTGTCTTACTACTCATGAGGCCATGAGGCTGTCTTATGCTCGCCCGCGAGGAAGCCGGCTGGCTGACGAGCTCCTATTCTGTCTGCTCTCTACATGTTGGCCGACCACGCCATTGGGGAATTCATCCCTTCTATTGTTATCCAGCTTCTATAACTGTACATCGACAGTGCAAGATCTTCGTTATACTATATCAGCGGTGGCTCCTTCAGCCCTGATCTCTGGATCTGGTGATCCGGAGAATGCATGCTCTGAAATGGGGCTGAAGATCTCCACACAGTTTCAGGGGCGTCTTTCTTCCTTCTCGTATGACATACGAAGTCCATGGGATGTCGAGTTTCTCCGCACATATTGGCATTATCGGTTTTTCGGCGTATATTCTGGTTCTCATTGTTCCCCTTTCGCCTACCATAGGGGATCAGGCTTACGGCTCACTCGCATGCGAAATGCATAAAATGTCACCCAGACTGCTGATTTCTAGCACGCAACGGCCGATTTCTACCGTCGAAAGTCTCACTGGCAATGTTGCGTGTTATTTTCCTATCGGGCCTCCTGGTCGTGACTCGGGGCGCCATCCAGCCGTCTGTCACCATTCCGGACACAGCTGCCGGATATGCCCAGCAAGTCGTTGATGTGTTTCAAACTGCTTACGGGGCATACCTCCAATATGCCAAAGGACATGATGATCTGGCTCCTGTCTCGAAGAGCTTTGTTGATGGGCGAAACGGCTGGCAAGCAACTGTCTGGGATGCCTTGGATACGATGCAGTTGAGTAAGTCTGTTTCCTATTACCTACGTCTGCCGTCACAACCTACCTAATACCTTGTTTCAGTGGGTTTGGATACTCTTTATGATCAAGCACTGGGTCTGATCACCAATGTCAACTTCACTCGTTCGCTCACCTCAGACGCTGTCGAGCAAGTGTCGCCATTATGCTTTTGACAGAGGCTTACCGCAATCATAGCGTCTTTGAGAGTAATATACGTTACCTCGGCGGGGCATTGTCGACATTCGAGTTAACTGGAAAGACAAACACGCACCTCATCGATCAAGTTACGGTCCTCACAGACCGGATGGCCTATGCTTTTGACGCTGGTGTATGTGTTAGGTCTCGAACCTGACGCTTTCTCATGTCCTTTTCATCGGAAGCCTGTGCCGTTCAACGAAGTTGACTTTTCTACCGATCCTCCTACTGCCCAATTCGGAACAGTAAGAATTGAATTTCAACCTCATGTCAGCGGCTCACCCTCGTTAGTCCAATATTGCTCAAGTTGGTACCCTGACCCTGGAGTTCTCCCGGCTGTCTGTTTATACTGGAAATGACACTTACCGACAATTGGCCGAAAACGCAGTTAAAGCCGTCATGGGGCAGGTCAGCGAGACATTTGTTAGTACACGATAGGATGGAGGAACTAATCACGCTTCCAAGCCTACTCCTCTGCCCGGTTTCCCGGCACAAGGAATCGATCCGCCTACTGGAACTCCGGATGGTGATTACGTGGTCAGTATTGATTTTGCCATTCAGAAGCTTCATACTGACTTCCCCAACACAGTCCTGGGGAGGCGGATCCGACTCCTATCTTGAGGTACCAACCATGATTTATGCGTACTTATGCCTGCTCATCCACGTAGTATTTGCTGAAATATGCCCGCATCACCAACAATGCCGACCCTACCTTCCTCAACGCATGGAAACAAGCAGTCGATACGTCAATTCAATATCTCCTAACCCAATCTTCTGTTGGAAACTGGACTTACCTCACCGACTTCACTGGTGGAGCGCCCTTCTATATCAGTTCGCATCTTGCTTGTTTCCACGGTAAGGGCAATCCCCTTTTTAAGAGAGATGCTTGAGGCTCACTTGGGCTTGTCGTAGGTGGCAATTGGCTGCTCGGAGGGAAATTACTTAACAATGAGTGGGTAAACGCTCTTCATGCTCCCCTACCAGTCTCAAAATTTACAGCACCATCTTCAACATCGGCTTGAAATTGGTGGATGCCTGCACGAACACCTATCACAGCACACCGACAGGATTTGGACCGGAGTTCTTCACATTCATCAATGTGAACGGAGCTTCAAGCGTAGGGCATGAACTTTTGTGAAGGCATCTGTCTCACAGCTTGCAGCTTACTCCATCCTCAGACGATTTGGCGTTCTATGACGAGCACGGTTTTTGGATCTTTCCGGGAGAGACTGACTATTTTCTGTATGTTCCACTCAGCTGACTCGTATTCCTATTGACGTCATGTTTTAGGCGCCCGGAGGTGCTTGAGGTGGGTGCACTTGGATTCAAGTCAACTGTGTCATTTATCAGTCCATGCAGTCTAATTTCTACGCCTGGCGAATGACCGGAGATGTCAAGTACTTCAATAATGCCGTTGCTGCGCTGGACAGCGTCACGACTTACTTGAAGGCGAATGCTGGTTATGCTGGTATAATCTGATCTCGGCCCACTTGTGATTGAGAGTAACCCCTGACACAGGACTGAACGATGTCACAAACCCCAGCGCAGGTATGATCGACGACATGGAATCGTTTTTCAGCGCAGAAACACTCAAATATCTGTATCTGACATTCAGTCCTTTCGACAAGATCAGCCTGGACGAATATGTGGTAAGTGGTCAATTCCTTGTGCCATGTCCTGCTCATCACCTGCTAAGTTTAATACGGAAGCGCATCCTTACGAGGCTCCTGTGTGGACGCATTGAGATACCATGTATCATATACATTATCAAGATATGTATATGGTCTTCTGCCTAAATAATGAATGAATTCGTCTGCTCTCACTTGCTGTTTCGACGCCAGAAATACTGCAGCGCCCACTTCCGTGGCCATAAGGTCATGAACCACATCCATGTCGAATACCCTCCCGAGTAAAAGAACCATTTCAGTTCCTTTCGAAGAAGCTCCTTCACCACTATCTTAGCGAATTGTTTGGTGGGCATGCAAGATGGATTAGTTTGACTAGCAGAGAAACGCTTTTGGAGGGCTTCATTCCACGGTTGGTAGACGCTCGTCGGAGATACATTGAAACCGTGCATGTTGTCGATGATGTGCGATTTAACGAAGCCAGGAAGGAGGGTCATGACTTGAACGTTGAACGGGGTACATTCGTGTCTCAAGACGTCCGCTAACGTATGGAGCGCGGCCTTCGATGCGGCATAGGTACCATTCCAAGGCACTGATGGAGTATCAGCCACGCCATGAGGACTGCGCGATCAAAGGACGAACCTGGAACCAGGCCGCCAATGGACCCGACCAATATGAACTTTCCCGATTTTCGCTGAAACATATGGGGCAGGACAGCCTGTGCCAGCCTGTGGCTGCCGAAATAATTCGTGTCAAAGGCCGCACGCGCCCAATCGACGGAGACGTCCAGGATTGGTCCTGTCCAGACTCGTGAGCATGTACAGCCAAACTCGAAACGAGATGCAGACCGAATGCACCGACTCCAGCATTGGACACTACAATATCGAGTCTCCCACATTTCTCAATGACCTCACGGACAGCAGCTTCAATAGATTTCGGGATGCACACGTCCATCTCAAGTGTTCGGATGTTATCATGTTTAAAGGTGGTCATCGCCTCGAGTCGGCGAGCCGTTGCGTAGACCACCTCAGCGTGTGGGGCAAATTCCTCACATCTTCCAAAAACTCCGGGTCAGTGTCACGACTGTGCTAGGCGCTTCAAACTCACAGCGCGTAGCCGATTCCTCCTTCAGAACAGCCGGTGATGAGCACCACAGGCTTGTTAACTTCCATCTTGGGGTTCGTGCAAGTGAGGGTTAGGAGTGAGCTGCCATGAAATTGGAGCGTTGGTGGTCGGCCAACGCGTAGGTTGGCCTCCACGGATTTCTGTCTCCTGGGGGACGACACGCGCTTCCCAGCTTACGTTCCCCAAGCCAAAAGTATATACTAGTACCAGGGAGAAAAGAGACCCGTAGTACTTTAAAAGAATGTTAATCATACATGCGATCCAGCCGACGAAGTCGACTCGTTCGGTGAAGGCTGACTCATCCGTTCACGGGCCCGGTGAAGATACATAGACTTGTGCGGACAATTGGTGATGCGTGGTAAATGAGGTCGCAGAGTTGCGTTCAGTCCCCTAAGCATGTTGCTCATCACGTTGACTGAATGGGCGTGGGTGTGCCGGACATTTTTCCTATTTTCACACTTGATCGCCGTGGTTGATTAATCACACCACCCAATATGATATAGTATGGTCGGAGACAAATATCCGATCAATTGAAACTCGCCGCACTTCATTATTTCAGTACGGCCAGGAGTCGGTCAGCATCCCATCCTGAAAAGACAATCGTTTCGTAAACTGAGCTAGCTTATCAACACTCTTTAGATCTGTTAAAAGGGCATGTATCAAGTATAGAGACAATGTGTACATGTTATTAGGTCGTGATATTGACCAACCCGCCGGCTCTTACTTGCTGTTTCGACGCCAGAGGTATTGCAGTGCCCATTTCCGTGGCCACAAACCCATGAACCACATCCATGTCGAATTTCCTCCCAACAAAAAGAACCATCTCACTCGAGTTCTCAGCAACTCTCTTACTACTTGTTTCGCGAGTTGCTCGATGCGCATGCACGAGGGACTTGTTTGACTGCCAGAAAAGCGCTTGTGAATGACTTCGGCCCAGGGATGATAGAGACACCGTATATCCTTGCATATTGTCGATGATATGGGACCTCACAAACCCGGGAATGAGGGTCATGACTTGAACGTCAAACGGGGTGCATTCGTGCTGAGGACGTCAGCCAGGGTATGGAGGGCAGCCTTCGACGAAGCATATGTCCCGTTCCATGGTACTGCTATAATATCAGAGGTGCGATGAGGGCTACGTGATTTAAACACGGACCAGGAATCAGACCAGCGATAGATCCAACCAATACGAACTTGCCTGATCGTCGCTGGAACATATGTGGTAGGACAGCCTGTGCGAGCCTGTGGCTACCAAAGTAATTGGTATCAAACGCCGCACGCGCCTTGTCAACGGAGACGTCTAGGATAGGTCCTGTCAAAGTGGTTAGCATGTAAAAGATGATGTTGATGAGTTGCGAACCGAATGCGCCCACTCCAGCGTTGGATACCACGATATCAATCCTCCCACATCCCTCAATAATCCTGCGAACGGCAGCTTCGATGGACTCCGAGCTGCACACGTCCACCTCAAGTGTCCGGATATTATCATGCGCGAAGCCACTCATTGCTCGAGTCTTCGAGCAGTCGCATAGACGATCTCAGCGTGCGGGGCGAACTCCTCGCATCTGGTGAGAACCACGGGTCAATGTTGGCATGGACACGACCCGGTCGAAACTCACAGCGCATATCCGATTCCTCCTGCAGAACAGCCGGTGACGAGCACTACTGGTTTGTTAACGCCCATCCAGCTGTTTTTCGAAGTGATGGTTGGCAGCGAGATGCATGGCTGGATAGCTCTCGTTCGTGGTTGTCGAATCTGTGGTTGGCCCTCCACATGGACGTACGTGTCTTCGGGACGACGGCAGGCGTTTCCCAACCTCTCTGTCTTCGAACATGAACTGTCGGTCGCGTCTCCCGTATTCGCTTCACAGTTCACTTCATTATTCATTCAATAACAACCAAATCGCCAATCAATTGATCACAAAATCAATTACCACTCCTTCTGTCTGTGTACGCTTATCAACAGTGCCATCATCCGACGTTATCCTCTCAGAAAGACCGGGGCAATCGGTCAGCATCCCATCCTGCAAGACGGTTGTCTAGTCAGTACCTAACTAGAAGTGCCGATTAGAACTCACATGACACCGGCGTACAGACCATCATGCGGACTGAAGCTATCATCCAGGAACGAAATTCCAATGGCACAATTGTACTAAGAATGCAGTTTGTACGTGCTCCGCCTGTCCGGCCAAGCCACTTACATTTTCTTGCCCCGGGCAAAAGTCATATGTTGAGCCACCGCTGGATGTGATAAAGACTTCTCCGCTGCTTAGTTGTTAGGTTGTTCTCGCGGCTCCGTTGCAGGTTCAACTTACGAGGGACGCTCGAAGCCAAAATCGGTCGAAGGTAGACGAGGCACGATATCGTTGTCGTTCGTCTGCGAACAATATCAGCCAGCTCAGGCTACCCAGGCAATGTCACTAACGACGTGATACAGTCCACCAAGATTGGAATCGACATAGTTCGCGAAAGCCTGGCTTCCTACGCGCGGCAGGCCGAACAGCCGTACGGTGATGGTCACGTTGACCTTCTCATGGAGGTACAAGGCATCGAAGAGGGCAATGGCTGCTCCGAGCGAGTGTCCTACCACGTAAACCTGCGTAGCACCATGGGACGAAATGGCAGTCTGAACTCCGCTCAAGACCGATGCGGCCGTGCTCTCAAAAGTCGACTGGAAGCCCTCACTGTGCACGATGAGGAAGGGAATAGAAAATTCAAGTGGTCCACCTACTGCACCTCGAGCCCAGATGTTCCGGGGAAATACGTCTGATCGATATCAACGAGCATGAACGAAAGGTCATCGATCCACGAATCTAAACTTGCAGTGTTCGTGCCTTGATGTGCAACCACCGCCGCGCCAGCGCTCGGGTAGTATGCCACGTACCAGTCTGGCACGGCGTCGTTATTTCCGCCTGCAGCGAGCGGCACCATACCAGGAAGAGCCTCGCATTGAGCTGGCCACAAAGTCAGACGAGCCGTTGCATTGGTCACCTCCTAGACTCCAACTTACCGCCACAGGACCAAGACATGTTTGACGCCGAAGAACAATAGGAAGCACTTGCCATATGTGCAAATGGCGTGATCGAAGAGATTTGTGCCGTCGTCAACGGTGTGACTGCCGCCGTATTTTCTCTAGGTAAGAGAGGGACAGCCAAGACGAACGAGAGCGCAATAGAGCCGAACAATGCAAGACGAATGAAGCCCATGATGGCTAAGAAGAGTCGTCGAAGACTTGGCCCACTAGGATGTGTTTACGTGCTCGTTTTACAGCGGCTCCTCAACATTACCGGAGGCGGGAATGTTCGCCGTATGACTTGTCACTATGGTCGTAGTGGCCTGATATTTTGCGGGGGAAAACATTGTCCGCTGCAGCACGCAGGACGTGATAGTAGTCCAGATGGCTCCCAGGCAACTCAGCTCATGAGAAGATCAGAAGCAGGTTGCAATGTAAGTCTTCAACAGGGACTTCCGCGGACCCGGCCGCCCGACGTTAGGTATCGGCCTTTGTCCCTGGACCTGCCCGCGTGGCTACGCCTTTCATGAGGTGACAGCAAGATAGTTCCTTTCACGTGCACATTGCAGGCGCTTCTTATTCGCGGATGGCTGCCTTCCAGATCAACCTAGCAGGCGAGGGCCCGAATTCACGAAAATGAACCTGCGTAAACAGTGATCTTGATGGGAAGACACTCCTGCGAGCGAATATCAGGAAGACAAACATTTGTTAACTTGATAAGCACTACAGCATTTAAAGGAGCAGAGTTCGTTCATGTCGTTAGGCCGTGCAGTAGTCAGAACCGATCCTAGAAAGGAGGTGAACATGAGCTTCGTGCGCTGGATTTGAGATAGTTGGAATTACATGACGCCAGCATAGGGACTGATAATTGTGCTTAAGAGAACATTCCAGGTACAGAAAACATATGCACGCACCCATCATGAGGACTAGTACTGTCATCAAGGAAGAATATGCCGATGGCACAGTTATACTGAGGATTGCCGGATAAGTGAGCGGTATACTCAAAAAGCGAACACTCACATTTTCCTGGCCTGGAAAGCGTCAATCACCTTAATCAATGAAAAAAAAATGAAGTATCTCACCAGGACATGAGTCGTATATGGAACCACCTACCTTGGTGATAAAGATCTCTCCCCTATATGGGTGGGTAAGAGATTCCCTTTCATATAGGAAGCACAAGGTATTCAACGCACGACGGCTGCTCGTAGCCAAAGTCAGTGGACGGAAGGCGAGGCACGACATCATTGTCGTTAACCTGAACAGAAAATGAATGCAGCTCATGCACATGAGAGGGGAATCACAAACAATGTGATACAACCCGGCAAGCTCTGAATCGACGTAGTTGGCGAAGGCTTGATTTCCTACACGCGCCAAGCCAAAGAACCGCACCGTGATGGGCAAGTTGACATGGTTATGCAGATACAAGCCATCCAAGAGACCGACAGCGGCCCCCAGGCTATGTCCCAACACAAAGAGTTGAGAAGCTCCATACGTAGAAATACCGGATTGAACTGCGCCGAGAATCGCAGAGGCCGAACGTTCGAAGGTCTGCTGGAAACCATCGCTAGGGTATGTTAGAGGCGCAGCCGCATGTCCGATGAATATCACATACTGCACTTCCATGCCAGAGGTGCCAGGGAAGTAGCTCTGGTCCAAGCCGACAAGGATGGCCTCAGCATCGTCAAGCAGTGACAAGATATTATCAGTGGTGGTTCCTTGATGCGCGACTACAATAGCCGACTCGGCGGGATAGAAGGCAACGTAATAATCCGGGGTCGCCCCTGGGGCTTATGAGTTCCGTGTGCCATGCGGTATTTACCTGAATGGTACCATTATCACCGCCCGTCAGAATAACTTCCATGCCGGGAAGAGCCTGGCAGGCGGCTATCAACCATATGTAAGAGTGTTCGAATAATAATTAATATACGTACAACCGCAAGACCAGGACATAACCGCAGAGTAAGAGCAGTAGGCGGCACTGATATTGCTTAGTAGGTTGCTCGGCCGCTCCGAAGGGATGAGCACGTACTTTGTCATCCAAGCAAAAGGCGTGATTGCAGAGATCTGTGCGGTTGAGAGAGGCGTCACAGGAGCAGTGTTCTTCCTCGGGAGCAAGGGTGCCCCGAAAGCAGCGCCAGATAGACCAAGAACAGCAAAAGCAACACGAAAAACAGCCATTCTTAGCGCGAAAGGCCTGACACGAGATGGAGAATGCGTCGTGGGAGACTCTACCTCGTTGGAACACAATAGTTATATACGAAGATTTAGAAAGAGACAACTTTCATCAAGACGGGCCCGTTGAGAAAGCATGTCCGAGCGACAATGGTTGAGCAACGTGAGACATTGGCAATTTGGAAAGAAGCTGCTCCTAGTCCACCAGTTACTTTTCTGGTTGCATTTTCGTCCTTCACTCGAACAGGTACAGCAGAAAACCATGTGTTTTGAGAAGCACGTGTTCGTGATCCCATGGCACAGAGTAGTATGGTTTCGCATGCAGCCCTACTTTGACAATGAAGTGCTCACGGTGTTGTGAGGCGTTTTCGTCCAAGCAAGCACACGTTGGCGCTTCTTGTAATACTAATGGCCTTCCCACCCATAAGAACAAGACATCATCCTGTAGCACGTTCTTAGTAATGTATGTGAATTTCGAGTCGATTCCGGACTGGCAAGAGAAGACTTTGTGGTCGTTATAAACAGAAGCACCGGAAGAGATTATGGGAGACCCTGATCACGCTCCAGAGAAGCTATTTTTGTCTCTGTACCACGCGGATGGTCCGAGCGGCTCATGGCCGAATCACTCATCGGACGCGAACATGACACTAGTACTAGTACTGAGCTTTTGTTATAGCCGACTTTCATGAACATCGAGTCTGCTGATAACGTGTGCAACAATGAACCACGTTTGAACGGTCATGCGGGTCAGAGTTATTGCACCACTAAGTGCTAGGAACGGTGCAGCTAGAGCTTCCCAAGGCGGTTGCGCACATCTCCGAGACACCGCTGGCATAGCGTTGGAGGCGTGCAATAAGCTCGTACGTCACTGTCTTCGGGTTTCCGTTGGAATCAAAAAGCTGAATAAGGTATATGAGAGGATAAACGTCTGGCATAAAGAAGACTTACGGTCGCCATTGCGACACCATGCCCATTGCCAGGAGTAATCCAAGAGGTGTCATCCCTATGACCAATCAGAAAGGAAACAAATGGTTCTCTGGGTACGGACCGATTGTCCCAGTTGGTGAATTCGAAGCAATTCGAAGCGTAGAGGCATGCATCGAGGTAGTCGCCCCAAATGGCGGCCTGATATCTCTGGTCGACAGTGTCGTTTGCTTGAATCCACATATCCATCTCGGTGATCAAGGCTTTGGCACCGAGCGAGTTGAGCTGGGCGAATGTCGCCTCTAGCTGAGCCTTAGGAACAAAGTAGCCAGCTTGAGCTCCGACATGAGACTGGTAACCGACACTGTTTAATATTGAGTTTATCGGTGCAATCAAGGCTGGCCAACCACCTACCCAAGGCGATTGTACGGGATGGACGCATTGGCGTTTATATCAGCCAAAAGCTTGAAGACGCAGTTGTCCTTAGCATCGCTTCCACCCGTAGAATAGTCATTGTAAACTAGCGTGGCTGTGGTGGGAGCATTCGTAAGAGCTGTCTTGAAGGCGGCGTAGACGAACTGCAAGTTGGTCTCTAGAGCAGTCGAGCCGCCGTCTGCGGTGACGGTCGGCCAGCGATCAGCGTTCTGCACACATTGGTATGAATTCATTGCCGTGGTCGCAGAGTCAGTAATGAGTTCATTCATCACGTCTGGAAGCCGTTAGCAGACGCAGAAGTACAGTTAAACGGCTTACCCCACGAACTAACATTAGTACCAAGCCCTTTAATCACACCAGCAACATGGGTCGGGATGACGTTCTGAACAAGGTCGGTGGCCGTAACGGTGCCAGGCAGCCAAGAAGGGAGCTGTTGATGCCAGAAAGTATTGTGACTGAATCATGTTAGAAGCACTTCGATCCGGCCAACGAGACACATACCCACGGAAAGTGGCGCCATGCGCCCCAGCCAAGGAGGAGACAGCCTCGCATGCTGAGAGAGTAAAAGTACCCCGAGTAGGCTCCGTGGCGTACCATTTACAGTCATTCTCAGCTACGACAGCTGAGAAAAAGGTGGAAAAGATGTTGCTTGTCCATGCTGCTTCAGCTGACGACGGCGTGGAGTACGTAGACCCGAAGTGGAATGTCGCACCCTTACGAGATGATACTTGAGATAGAACGCTGCGCAAGTTGAGATTGAGAGCTTCCGCCGCTGACAAGCGTGTTGAGCTGTCGATCAGCAGGGAAACCGTCGGTACTTGGGCTGAGATGGGCGTGACGAGGTACACAAGGGCGCCGAGGCCGGCAAGGGGTAAGAAAAAGGCTACCATCGTGCCCTGCCTCTCTATGTCGTTGTTTCAGACAGTTTAAATACCTGAAGAAACAACATCCCAAAGTCGGCGAGAACCGTTGGGAGAAAGCTCGGTCCGAATGTCAGTATTGTTGTGCTGAAAACAACCACGTCATACTGCACGTCCTAGATGACCACGCACAGATGATTTCTAGCCCTTATGCCAGAAATGGTTCCCGAGAACAATGTGGGGGCATAGAGGGACAGATTTCAAGTCCAGTTGTGAGATCTGCTGCGATTGACCGCGGTCATAAGGCGCTTCGCAAACGGGGCATACCGGCATTGGAGCCCAGAAGGGAGGAGAGGACATCATTTTCACGGTACGGGTGCTGTAAGAATTGGAGTTAATACCTAAAAGCAGTGTATTGAGGCCGAGGATGTTCCTCGAGACTATGATGCGTATACTTCTCGGCTAATCTCGACGAGAAGACCTTGTCGAAGCAGAGAAGAGCTTGATTAATATACACGTGTCATGTGCGTCGCACACATGAGATAGCTGGCAGTTCTATTCCAGCCTTGAATATAAAGAACAGCCCTCGGCATAGGTAGCAAGACGACCTGGGTTAGGGTAGTATTGCCGGGTAGTCCCCGAGGGGAATGACCCATATTTGGTCTGTCCAGTGTAAGCATAGTGCTCGGATGAAGGAACGTGGCAAGCAGTAAAGCGGTTCATCATGAAATGGGCGTCTGGCGTCCAAGTATTCTCCTGAAGGAAGAACTCTGGGGTTCCCGTGATGCGGAAGTACTTTGAATCACGTGATGTAAACAGATCAGTTCTTGGGCAGACTACGCGTACACATGTTGAAGTACAGACACACCCGACTGTATCACGTAACCTAGTACACCGTGCAGGACTCGGTTCCAAGTGCTGTCGCACACATCTCTGCGGCGCCTTCGGCATAACGAGCAAACCGAGCCATGATCTCGTACGTAACAGGTTTGGGATTGCCGTACATGTCAAAGAGCTACCGAGGATGTCAACACCAACTCCGCACAGTCGTATTTTGCATACCGTGGCTATAGCAACACCATGGCCGTCACCCGGAAGGATCCAAGAAGTATCATCCCTAGTATTACCAGTTAGAAAATGAACACAGCAACATTCAGGAGACACAGACCGGTTATCCCAATTGATGAACTCGTAGCAGTTCGAGGCATATAGGCACGCATCAAGATAGTCACCCCAAATAGCAGCTTGATAGCGCTGATTCACCGTATCATTTGCCTGGATCCAGAGGTCCATCTCTGTCACCATGGACTCAACCCCAAGGGCAGCAAGACGTGCAAAAGTTATCTCCAATTCGGCTTTGGGAACGAAGTACCCTGGCTGAGCACCCACATGGGACTGGAACCCGACGCTACCAGGATTTAGCCGAGTATCTCCTAACCGAAGGGAACCACCTACGCCATGCGGTTGTATGGAATGGAAGCGTTAGCGTTCAGATCGGCGATGAGCTTGAAAACGCATCTAGATATGGGCCAGACTTTGTGAGAGTGCGAGTCGAAGTCAATCTGACTCAGTCTTCGCATCCTGGGCGCCGGTACTGTAATCGTTGTAACTGAGACGCGTCTCTGGGCTCGCGCTCATCAAGGCAGTTTGCCAGGTCGCGTAGGCGAAGGAGAGGTTGGTGACAAGAGGCGTAGATCCGCCATCGTACGTGACGGTCGGCCAGCGGTCGGCGTTCTGAACACACTCCCATGATGTCATGTTGTAAGTGGCGGTATCAGAGATGAGCTCGTTGGTGACATCTGTCGAAAATTAGAGGACTGCATCTATACAGACGGAAAATGCGACTGCTTACCCCACGAAGTGACATTCCAGCCAAGGGCTTTGATCTCGGTTCCAACGTGAAGAGGGATAACGTTGTGCACAAGATCGTATGCAGTCACGTTGCCCGGAAGCCATGCCGGCAGCTGGTTGTGCCAGAAGGTGTTGTGTCTATGTTTCATGAGTGGGAATATCATAACAGATTAAGAACCACATGCCCACGGAAAGTTGCGAAGTGCTCCGCAGCGTATTGGGAAACCTGCTCGCACGCCTCCAGGGTGAACATGCCCCTCTTTGGTTCCGTCGCATACCATTACACAGATTCTCAGCTCGCATGTGAGCGAAGTAGGTCAAGAAGACCTCGCTTGTCCAGTTGGTCTCGGCCGTCGACGGCGGAGAGTAGGTAGAACCCCAGTGGAAGGCGGCGCCCTTCCGAGCCGAGACGAAGGGCAGCAGCGAGCGGACATTGAGTGACCGGGTAAGGTCATAGTAGAAGGGGTTGTCAATCAGGAGGGAAACATTGGGAGTTTGAGCAGACGCCACTGAGGCGAGTGCAAGTGCTCCCAAAGAGAGCGAATGTGCGAGCATCTTGCTTGGAACTCCCGCTTGCGCTAGGCAGACCGGACCAGCAGACTTGGCATTTATAGCACCATAGATGGGTGTTTCTAAACGGGGATAGAAAAGCAGTTGCAGTTGCGATCACGTTGTGGATCTGCCAGAACAGTTATTTGGGGCGTTAACTTCCCCAAAGAAGCACGAGGAGCAGTGCTGGCAGGTACAGCCGAGATTCCTGCGGCCAGCGAATAAGAAAGCGCCAGAATTGAACAGGAGTATACGCCGTTAGAGCAGGGTATAAGAATGCGATGACGGAACATAGCAGACGGAGATGGAGGAGTGGTCGAATCAAGCAGCCGAACTGCGTCTCCTGTGCATCATCAAGCGGAACAGCGAACCAAGCGTTTTCCTCAGCGTGTTCCTGTGTGAGAGGGATCTGGTCCAACACGCGGACGAGACCTAGTTCTCCGGGCTTGCCGTTGGGTACCGGGTGGGTTTGGGAGCCTAGTACGGCGGAGCGGAGCAGTGAGGCTTGCCAGTGCGCGTGTTGGAGGGCTTTGAGGGGTGTGTATGCGCGCCCGGTGTGTGGTGAGAGGGAGAGGGAGACGGTCTTGAGGTCGTCGAATGGCTGCACGAGGCGGAGAAGAGCGCTGCCAGTGCCCATTCGCTCGCAACTAGCACGCCACCCCAACCTCCAGAAGCGTCCCTCTCCATGTGGCAGCAACATGGCATCCCGGCGCAGCAGGCTGAGCACCCACCCCGAGCCCAATCCCCTTCCCCCTCGCAGCCACTCCTAGGCTAGTAGAGTAGGGACAAGCGCGAGCGCAAGTGCCTTGAGCCGGTCTGAGAGTCCCACTCCCTCCACGCCAGGCCAAACGACCCCAAGCGGGAACCAGTCTCCCACAGCGGTGTTCGTCTTCCCCCCCGCTTCACCCACCACGCCCACCGCAGCACCGACGTCCTACCCCCCCCCTGCCCCAGTCACACCATACCGCGATCCCCGCCAGACCCTGCGCGCATACTTCGCCGTCACGTGCTGCTCGAGTATCCGCACGGCTGACGAGGTTTAGCAGCGCACCGGATAAGTTTGGTGTTGCCCAGAGTTGGGGGTGGAAGAGCAGTTGTTCGAGGGAGGGGGCGGGGGAGGAGGGGAGCAAGGGCGCCCTGAGGGTTACCGTTGTTCTTGGCTTGGTTTGATACGCACACGCACGAGGTTTGTCAACGTTCTTCATGCTCACGCGTCTTGCATGTTCGTTCTTATGCTTATTCTTGTATTCTGATTCATGACGATCCGTTACATGTTTAGACTAGACACTTGACACTTGGTTTTTGTAGATCACCATTTTAAGACCATGTTTCCGGATTGTATTACCCACATGTTGGATGTTTTACGGCACTGCTCTTTTGGTTCTTTGTAGGACTTACTGTGCTACGCAGGTTGCGCTAGACGAGGCGCAGTAGGTCGTTTTGTTGCCATACGTCTGCATTTCCGTAAGACCAACTTATAAGAGGCCCGCCTCCATTACAGGAAGATCTAACTTTACGGCGTTTCTTACTGTCAACTCACTGTTCGGAAGCACGCTGTCGAACCAATTCCCATCAACATCAATCCTAGAATAGCCCTTCGAGGAGAATGAGTCCGAGTTAGAAGCGCAATGCGGCATTTCACTGACTAACGGCGCGCCCGACTCAACTGTTCCTGTCCTCTCATCATCATCCAACTCGAACTCGACTCTGGTTCCGGGCTGAACATATCCGGGTCTTTCAGTGATCCTTTTCCGGTCAGGAAAGCTCAGTCACGCACATTATATTGTGCAGGCACAATCCTAGCGGCGAGCACAGGTTCAAATTCTTCTTCGCTATAGGACCGCGCATATAGCTCTTCGGCCAGGTCGGCGGTCGGGATGTGCCGGAAAGACAACACTGAGGAATCGTCCACATAGCGAGTAGCTTTCACAGGCGGCAACTTGTTATCGACCGATATTGCCTTACCCATCCTCACGTGCTACTTCCGGGGCGTGCCAGAGATGGAGGAGTTGATCCGGTTTGCGGACGTAGTGTTCTTCTCGTGCGCCCGTTTCCTGGTGTCCTGTGTTCTGTAGTGACTTGCGTGAACGGGAAAGCACTGGCACTGCAAGCGCACTCATCACCCAAGTCGTTCTTCCTCTCCCACGCGCTAAACTCCTCCTCCCACTCCCCTCCTCCCACATGTCACGCACAGCCCTCCTCTCAGTCCCGAACAAGGAGTATTACCAATCCGCAGAGCTGGTTGAAGACTCCTCTGCGGGCGTGAATGACGTTTCGTTGGAGGAGGGAGATTTCGAGAGACTTCGGAGTCATAAACGCGTTCATTGCTTCCGACTCTGACTATCGGATATAAGGTCCGGCGTGCGAATGCACCAACCTCCCCCTCTTGTTGGTGACCAGAATCCCTCAAACCGTTCAAAGTCGCGCTTGGGCAAGGATACATTTGATCTGAGTACGAAGTTAAATCGGGACCCTACAATCCCCATTTGTGCCACTGGAGTACGTAGGTGGTTATCCGCCTACTTCGGGGGCATCAGAGGCTTGCATTCCATATATGTCTTCCCCGGATCTGCCGGCAGGGCACAGAAGAAACCCATACTCTGCATTCCGTCATCCTTCGTTTCCTATCACAGTAAGGCGGAGCGCACCTGCATCGTCTCGAACAGCTTCTTGCTTGTGCCGTCAACTTTGATACATGAGACGCCGGAGGATGTTCGCCGGCATATCTCAGCAGATTGGGATTGGTCGTCGGACGAGAACTCGTACATCGCATTGGGAACTTGCTGTATCAAGTTCAGCAGACCCAATCGGGTTGGGGAATGCGTGCACGCACCTGGACGAAGTCCTTGATCGTTTGTTTCCCTGCGTCGGGTTGTTTGCCCTTCGGCTCGCTTTTGGAGGATGAGCCAGAGAACCACGACATCTCTTGGGTCGTCGTCGGAAGTGTGAAGGAGAGAATTTTTGAGTGGGATCAGGTGATCATTCACTGTGGATGGTCGTCTCAGCCCTGGCCAACCTGAAGGAGGCGCTCACAAGATACAACGACGTCATCGATTGCTCCCGCTTACATAACGACCCTGTGACCCTCCAGAGCAAACACATTCAATAAGTAGAAATAATGACCTATTCCTCGAACCTACACAGAGCGCCTAATTGATCCCCAGGCTCTCGTGTCCTTCTGCCAGTGTCATCCCCCGCCCTACGCGTTCGGCCATCCCCTCTGCAATGTCCCGCCTTGTTGTCGCAGCGTTGAACTCGCGTTCTTCGTCTTTCAGCGCAAAGGTTGCCGAGCGCAAAGTATGGAGGAGACCAGTGTGAGAGGAGGAGAGGTCGTCTATATTTGAGAGAACCTTCTGGTGCTAAGGAAAGTTAGCAACATCCACGATCTGAAGACATGAGGCGAACCTCATCATACGCCCCAGCAGTGGCAAACCCGCTCCAGGTATTAGCTGCATCCTTCTCCTTGACATAAGGCACAATCCCATTCCATATCCTCCTTTCCTTCTCTCCCAGCACCCAGGAAGGTACGGGCATTCCCAGCAGCTCTTCAATTTCTTTCAGTCCTTTGTGCTGGGCACGCACACTGCGGGGCTCTTTGGGTGGCTCAGCGGCTGCGAGAGGGAGTCGAGAACGAGGTCCGACTGGTGTAGCAGGCGTGATGGATGGGCCCATAGGGGAAGGATAAGAGGGCGTAGCGATGTGAGGTCCCGAAGTTTGTGAGGAGAGTGGTGGTCGACGGAGGATAACAGGGCGAGAGACGGGTGTGCCGGATCCCGCGGGGGTCGCAGGGGAATGATACGACTCGGTGTTGCGCAGAGCAGGAGAACTCATCTCAATGTTGGGGGGTTGGGATCGCTGTAAGGGCTGGCTCGGACCATTGGAGGGAGGTACATCAATGGCCTCAGAGGGTGCACCAGGCGCAGAAGGTGCAGAGGAAGTTGGAAGCGGTCGAGAGAGTTTGATTGGTGAAGACGGCTTGTAAGTAACACCAACTTCACCTTCCTCAGCTTCCGATCTCGGACTCCTGGCTGGCGACCGTCCCCTTGACGGGGCAGCGCTATTTCCTGTTGAGGCTTCTGTGGGTCCACGACGTGGCCACCCATTGTCTCTTCCCCTGTCATCTCTGCCTGAATCTCTCCCCCTGGCGGTATCCGCTTGAGGCGGGCTGGGACGAGGGGGAGATCGAGGCCGATCTTCACCTCTCCCTCGAGGAGAGCGGTCCCTCATAGGTGAAGGGGTCCGACATCTCTGATGAGGGGAACGCGAGCGCCGCCTGGGAGAGAAAGAACGCGAACGCGACCGTCCACGACCACGACGCAGCGGAGAAGATCGAGATCGATCACGGGAAGGCGAACGGCGCCTGCGATCACGGTCTCTGTCTCCCCACCTGCGTGGCGAGGGACTTCTGCGATCTACCGAAACGATGGTCAGTAATACGGTGCACGAATACAGAGGAAAGGAACCTCTGAAATCCCTTCTCCTATCTCTGTCTCTATCACGTCTGTCCTCGTCTCTTCTCCGATCGATCTCCCTTTCTCGCCTGTCGAATTCCTCCCTCCTCGGTACCCATCCTTCCCTGCCGCCACCAGACGGTGCATCCCTCGACGGCGGGGAAGGGACATAAACATCATCGCCTCTCCTCCTCCAGTCGTCCCTTTCCCTATCACGCTCACTATAACGCGGACGGGCGAGATCTGCCAGCGAATCCGGTGGTGGTAGGTATGTTGACCCGCTTGGCCGCATGGCGTTAGGAGAGCGCTGTGACCGTGCAAGAGGAGAAGGTGACCGTCGCCTGCGATAAGAAGGACGGGGAGATGGTGGTCGTGCAGGTAGTGACATCTTCTGTGTTGCGTATGATTGAGCTAATAATTGGCGATAATCACAGAAAGTTAATCGGAAGAAATCACTTTCGGTCACAAGGAAGAGAAGACGCGCGCTTATATTTGATTCCGGGGATAGACACAGCCACTTGTTATGGGGAGATTTTTCCTCGCGTGAGCAACGCAAAAATGTGGTCAGCGCCATCCACTTCGCCGTTTTACACTTGCTCTACTACAGTCCTCGATATATTAAAACGTGAAAGATGAGGATAGAAAAGTGTTATTTTTGCTCCACGAATGTCTATCCGGGACATGGTAAGTTTCCATTCTCAGGTATCAGGGCTCTGCCAACAACACAACAGGCAGCGCATTCGTCAGGAATGATGCCAAAGTCTTTCGTTTTTGCTCATCAAAGTGAGGCTTCTCAATCCTTCCCTCCTTTCGATACGCCTGATCACATACTAGATGCAACAAAAACTTCAAGATGAAGCGCAACCCGCGTAAAGTGCGATGGACAAAAGCTTTCCGCAAAGCCGCAGGCAAGGAGATGATCGTGGACAGCACGTTTGAGTTCGAGAAGCGGAGGAATGTACCCGTGCGCTACGATAGGGAACTTATGGCGACGACGTTGAAGGCTATGAAACGGATTGGGGAGATCAGGCAGAGACGGGAGAGGGCGTTTTTCAAGAATCGGTACATCGCACTTCGGTGGTATAGGCGGTTGCTGACATCTTGGATTGTGTAGGATGGCAGTGGCGAAGGAGAAGACTCTATCTGCCAAACGCCGCAAGCTGGCTCTGCGCAAGGAGAAAGACGAGCGTATCGCAGCCGAGATGGCGGCTTCAGCTGCCGAAGCGGAACAAGAGATGTCGACGGAGCTTGTCGCCCCTGTGGAGAAAGCGGAGACGATCAAGATCAAGCGGAAGGTGCTGGTGCCGGCTACGAGGAAGCGGAGTGCACTTGTCAAGGGCGAGGGGAAGAGTATGGGCATGGACATAGACTGAGCTGCACTTGTAATGTCTTTGCGATGTGGAAGATGCCTATGACGATGTTTTTTTTCTCTTCCCGATACTGCGCCACGCCCGTTTACCGTAAGAAAGCTTAATTCCACTGACTCACACGTGGTAATGTTCGCATGTCTAAATCACTATAACCAAACAACATAGACAACGATCACTTCTACACCCTGGCATTAGCCTGCTTCGCCATCTTGAGCTTATTCTGCAACCTCCTAAGCCTCTCCTGCTCCCTCCTCCTCCTTTCCCTAGCCTCCTCTGCCTCACCCGCCCTATTCTCCGGGAGCAACTGCGGCCTCGGGGCAACAGTATACACGCCCATATTGCGCTCAGGAATTCGGATCCTCCGACTCTGCTTGTCGACCTGCTTGCCTTCAGCGAGGATCTTGGCCAGGCTGAGCTGACCGCTGCGGGCGGCCTCGGACGCAGCAAGTGGGATGTTGAGATCCCTGTAGTTGGCGCTTCGTCGGATGATTGGGCGACTCCACGCGTCCACAAGCTGGTCCGCAGCACGTTTGATGTGTTCCTGCACCCGCGGGCTCTTCGTGTAAAAAAGAACCACTTTGCCCAAGTCGCAGTGACGGAGATCGTCAGTCGGGATATACATCTTTGGGAGGACGCTGAAGAGGGCGTTCTGGATGTTGAGCGCAGGGAGGGACTTATCGACCTTGATTGGTTCGAGCCAGCGTGTGACAGCTTCGAGCAGTCCATTTTCGAGGATTGCGCTTTGATAGCTCTGCCTGTGGCTAGTGTCAGCGGTATTATCTGCTCCAAAGAGATAATACGCACCTCTGTAAAATATCCATCACCCCAGGCAGGAGTTTGAGCTTCTGCAGCGCAGGCCTATGCTCCATGATGCTCTCCTCATCCTCTAAGGCTGCAGTTATCATCTGTTCCTTGAGCTTAACGACCTCATCATCCGCAAATGTGTCATCCCCATCCTGCTTCCTCCTCCGGCGCCTCATCCCCTTCGGCTGTTTGATGATCGCATCAAGCTGCTGATCAAGCTCCTGCCTGCGTCTCTCTCCCTCCGTAAGTGGAACTGGAGCTGGTTCCTCTGCACCCTCTTCCCCCCCGGTGCGGGGACTGCGCTCCCTCCGCTCCCGCTTCCGCCTCTTCACCTTTCTCCCCTCGTCTCCCGCATCCTCAGCTCGCCTAGTCTTCTTCTTGATCTTAGGCAACTTTCGTACAGCTTCATCATCCTTATACTCTTCCTCTGCCCTTTCTTCGGATGGTGAGCGGGCAGGCGAGGGAGATGGGGAGATGGCAGCGCGTCGTGCTGGTGCTGGCGATGGGGGTGACTGATGACGCTTGTCTTCTTCCTCGGCGTCTGAGAGCTCTGACTCAGAACCGAAGATATCGTTCAGGAGTTGTTCTTCCTGTATTTGAAGCTATCACCTCGCAGTGTTACAACATTACTGAACACTTACCCTAGTATCAGCCATGATTGCAAGGAACAGAGAGAGATGAGTAGAATTATTTATGGCGACGAGGAGACAAACGGCGGCGGTTGAGCTTATATTTACTTCCGTTCGGAGACGCGGAGAAATTAATAGAGGACTCACTGTGAGAGCCGAAATGAAATGAACACCTTTAATCCTCTTGCTGTTGACCATTAACAAAAAGATGTGGTGCGAGAAATAACAATCAATGATATATATACAGTCTAAAATCCGCGTAGCAAACATATTCTCAACGCACAAGTCTCGATTCGCGCACCTTGCTGTAAACAATGGTTCGATGTGCGTCTCTTTTCCGCTTCATCTGTCGAGGTACTCATATACCCCAGTGCGCTGAATGCCACGCTGAGAAATCCGATCATTGCTTACGACGAACAACCGAGATGGTCTTCCTTTGCAAGAAGTGCAAGAAAGCATTTCGGAAAGATATGACGGAATATGACGAGCAGGACGAGTACTGCCCTCACTGTGATAACCACTACGTGCTGGATGCGTTAGAGCCTAAGGCGGCTCTGGGCTTAGAGGGAGAGGACGCGAGGGTGGACGCAAGGTAAGTGTTCTATTATGATGTCCGGGATAAGATGCCAATGCTACTGCAGGATGCTCAAGGACGACCGGGTGAAGAGTGACGCGCAGAAGAGCATATTTACCCAGGACTTGTCATCACGCCTCGGATGACCTTCTCTTCTACACCCATTGCTATGTTATATCAACGGAATGCACGAGTATCTCTGTTTGTCATCTCGAGGATGATCAATGTATATAGTGTCGAACTGGAACCATGTCGCTGTATTCAATCTTCCTCCAACCAAAGCTCCCCGATCTTCTTATCAAGCTTGATCAGCTCCCTCTGCAGCTCCACCAACCACCAAAGCACGTCCTCTCTCGGGCTCTTCAATACCTCGTTTTCTGTCATCCTCCCCAACCAATGCGCGAGGTGCGCAGCAGACCCATCGTCTTCCTCCATATCGTCTTCGTGATCCACAGAGTCACTATCGTTGCCCAGATCGTCGAACGGATCCAGTTCCCAATGCCGGGTGCCAGCCGTGATTCTACAGAGCTTGCTTTCGTCGACGTATATGTGCTGACGGAGCTGTATACCTCGGACATCAGCGAGCGATTGACAGCAGGCAACTGGTGCGTACCCGCATGAACTCCGTACACAGACCCTCCATGGACATGTTTGTCCATCCCAACTCCCCAATGTGCTTGTCCAGAAACTGCGGGGCACACATATGCTCGTCCTCTTCCTCTTCAGGGTCGGCTTCATCGTCCGACTCTTCCATGTCCTAGTCGGCAGAGCCATTTTCGTCGTCCGAGAAGACTGCCTCTTCCTCTTCTTCTCCGCCGAGCTGCTTGAGATAATCGGCGAGCACCTTCTGCTGTGTCTCTATATCCCCTTGTGAAAAGAGGTCCGCCTGTGCAGACGCGAGGATTTCGGGTTTTGCGAGCGCAAGGAGTTGCGATGTCATCCTTTGTCGAGGGAGATGTTGGGGTGAGGGGAGGAAGAAAGGAATACGACCGCAGAGGATTGCTCGATTGAAGTTATATAAGCTCGCAGTGATAAGAGACCCGGAGTTCTGCCGACACTGACTCGGGATCAGATACACATTCCGACACTACACTTGTGAGTCACAGTGAAAACACGATTCCAAACAGGACAACGCAAGTCATCACTGGGCACGTGACGCGCGCAGAGCCAGCTCTCCCAACGTGTACACAGCCGATATGCCTGCAGCCCTAGGAACGTCCAGCAGGGCTCCTCCGTTCGCCCAGCCCGCATCCCCGTTATGCCGTACTGTCAACCCCAGTCCAGGGATCCTCAAGACCCCAAGTGAGCTCTCGGTGAAGACGAGCAGCTGTCGAGCTTAACAGGTTCCAGGATTCCGGCTTCCGAACTTCTGGCTGATGCGGGGAGTTAAGGAAGTTGGAGGTTGGCGCCGTCGTGTCAGGTTTGATAATTGAGGGATAGTTATATGATTCCACAAGCGGGTTGATCATGTCCTTGTACCAATGAATATATCATTGTTCCTTAACGAGAAGCCCGGTGACTTACAGTTTTCCCTTGTGGCTCTCGAGACTCCGAGGAACAGACCAGTGATACTCTGTTGCATGCGTTGCAAATTCTGTTCAAGATGATTCGAGAAAGGGACTGTTGTTCATGTCCGGCATGCGGGATGCTGATGGATCACCAATCGCCTCGTTCGTGGCGTTCAAGAAGGCTGGACAGAACGAGCTTTGGTAGGAAATGAGGACGTATGTCTTCCCTCGGTGATGACGCCGCTTGAATCTTGCGTATATGCAGAAGGGAAATATGCCGAGCTGCGTGCCCGAGTCCATCACTTGTTGACAAAGAAGAATAGCCGGTTATCACGTACGGATGATGGGGCGGCAATCATCGGGTCCAGGCTTGTATGCAAAGAACATCAGATGTGTGATGTCATTCATGCAATGTAATTTTAACGTGGCCGCATGAGATCCCATCCGTCTTTGTTGGCGCAGATGTCGATGTAGACAAATAGTAAAGTTGGTCGTTCTTTCGTAAACCCATTTGACACAGCCTTGGAGTTCCCACGGTTCGCAGCAGACAAAGCACAGCCCGCTCTCTCAATTCACGGGCGAGTAAAGCTCCGAATCACGTGTTAATTGCAGGGTTCTCCCAGGGTCGGCCGTCGCGCGCCCATCAGTTCACCCAGACGTCCCCTTTGCACAAACGGCCATGGCGGCGTCGTCGCCGAAATTCCATCCTCTCAAGTCACTTGCTCGGATTCCTCTACCAGAATGTTCGTCGAATATCCCGCCATGTCTGCCGCTGCTGCGCTCAAGCCGTCTATCCAACCGATCGACTCTCCGGCGTTCTGATGTTTGTTCTTGGACGGACCATTCCTGTGTCCATCGTATTTCCCTTCATCTCAGGGAGCCCATATATCCCTTGCTGGATTGCCCCCTTTCTGCAGATAACAATCTACACTCCCATTTGACCACACAATGGAGTCTCTCCCATCACTCTACACTTCTATGTTTCCCCCCGCGCCGAAATGGGGGTTCAACGACATCCCTAGTCTGAAGGGCAAGGTCGTCATCGTCACCGGCGGTAATACAGGCATCGCGGAGGTCATGTGCCGCGTGAGTTCCTTTCGTTTTGGTTGTATCTAGTCCGTAGTTGACACCACGCAGGAACTACTCAACCACGACGCAAAACTGTACATCCTCGCCCGCTCTCTTGGGAAAGCAGACGCAGCGATCGCGGACCTTGTCAAGAAGACAGGGAAGACGAACGTCAAAGCGATCCAGTGCGATCTTGCCGATCTGAGGAGTGTGAAGCGTGCTGCAGCCGAGTTCCTCTCTAAGGAGAGACAGCTGCATATACTGTTCAACTCTGCGTGCGTCTCCTCCCCTTCCGCTTCGCTTCCTAGCTGATACCGAGCAGAGGGGTGATGTATGCACCGATGAGCATGCTCACATCCCAAGGCTACGACCTGCAATTCGGCACCAACGTCCTAGGTCACTTCTACCTCACCCAGCTGCTCCTTCCCGTCCTCCTCTCTACCGCAGCTGCAAACCCTGGCCAGGTCCGTGTGGTCACCACGAGCAGTAGCGCAAACCACGGCGCACCGTCCAAGGGGATTATTTATGAGTACTTGAAGGACGGACCACAGAGGACTAAGAAGGGGGACAGTTATATGGAGTACTATATGTCCAAATGGGTACGTTTCTTCCTTTCCAGGCGCATATATCAAGTTCTGACCGGATTGAACCACCCAGGGCAACGCTGTCTACGCGCAGGAGCTTGGACGGAGATATGGCAACCAAGGTCTGTTCAGCTGCGCCCTCGACCCGGGCTGGATCCGCACAAACTTGTGGCAGTATCAAGGCAACATCAGGGGCTTGATGACCGGGTGGATGCTAAATGATGTCGAACACGGCGCTTTGACTCCTCTGTATGCCGGCACCGCGCCAGAAGCGGCAAAATGCCCTAACGGCCAGGTGGGCTACCTCTCACCGCTCTATCTCTCGCTGTGCGCTAACGAGACACTACAGTTCTTCGTCCCCTGGGCCAGGGCTGGCAGAGCAAGAAAGGACACCGAATACCCCGAAGCGGGCAAGAAGCTCTGGGAGTACTGTGTTGCCCAAGTGCAGGCGTTCGAGGCTCAGCGCTCATAGTTGCCCGCCGCTTACCGCCGTAAGGTCGATGCCCCTGTGATGTTTTGCTCTTTAATCTTGATGTATTCTATGCCCTTTCCTTGAAGCGCTTGAGTGGATGGTCTGTGAGCTCTGTGATCCTGATCATGTGACATGGACGAGAGTGCATGCCCATGTGTCCACCTGATGGGTACTTAACTGCAGCTGAGGTGGCGAGACATTTTCACCACGCCAAACCCGACAATACCCACCATGATAATCACAATGGACTGGCCGCTGCTTCTATGGAGGACCCACTCTTTGGAATGGACTTTCGGAACCGGAGGGTACCTTGTCAACGTAACGTGCGTTGGAGTGTTTGAGACCACAAATTAAAAGGTTACAGATCGGGTCCAATCTGTCCCTTCTGGCTTCTTTTCCAACATAAGTATTACGTGATGAGAGCGTGTCCATTGAAATCAAGTCCGAAACCAACCCTTTCAATCTTCTGATGTGTCTCATATCCAGGGTATGTAGACAAGTATTTCTGATAGACGAAGCACCGCAACCACTTTCATGAAACGCCCGATGGTTGATTGTGAACCACCCAGTGAAGCACGTGCACTGTCCTAACAATGCAAGTCAGGGTTGTCATGCAGTGCAAGGGTCCATTAGAAAGTCCCTCTCTTCCTCCTACGTCTTGCCCTCACACATTCGCTACAATGCGGAATTCCTCGCTGGAAAACACAAATGTTCTGATAGATATGAAGCGAAGAGGTAATTAGATCTGAGGACGTAATTGATCAGGTTGATGAGAAAGAGCAGTCGATGTGGGGGGATGAGTGTTCCGCTGTCGCACTTGAAAAGGCCCACAACCGCTGGCATGGATCACCGAGGTCGCTGCATTCCCCCGGTTGACTCTGGTGTTATCTGGCACATTCCCGTCTTGTTCGGCATCTCACATTTCTTGTACTTTGACTCCTCTTAGGCCATCATGGATTATCTGCGCTGGGAAACCCGCCGAGTCAACTCGTTCTTCACCTCTGTCTTCCCACCTGCTGCGAAATGGTCCTTCAACGATATTCCGGATTTGACCAACATGGTCATCGTTGTCACGGGAGGTAACGCCGGAATTGGCAAGTCGATGTGCCGTGTACGTTTCCAGTCTCGTTTTTCGGGGTACCCGTGCTAATACACATCGACAGGAACTCGTTGCACACAACGCGCGCGTGTACACGTTCTGCCGAAATCCCTCCAAGGCTGAAGCAGCAATCTCCGACATCAAGCAAGCGACAGGCAAGAACACTATCTGGAACATTCAGTGCGACCTCGCTTCTTTCCCTTCTGTCCTATCCGCTGCCCGTGAACTCCTACTAATGGAGCGGGACGTACATGTCGTGTTCTGCAACGCGGGCGTTTGGCAGTTCTCTCCCCCACAAGTTACGCAGCATGGGCACGACATGTCATTCGGTGTGAATGTGGTCGCTCATGCCTATCTTATCAAGTTGCTCTTGCCGGTCATGCAGGCGACGGCGAAACGGTCTCCGGCAGGAACTGTTAGAGTCGTTATGACATCGTCTTCGTGTGTTCCTATCTTCCTATAACCTTCGGTATAATACTGATACACTTGTAGCGCCCCCATTGGCGCTCCGAAGAATGGCATCAACTACTCCACCCTGAAGGACGGCCCCGAGCGTGACAAAGCCTACCACCCCTATCACTCCTACTACCAAAGCAAGTGGGGGTTGATCGCCTACACCCACGCGCTCGTACGGCATTACCCTCTCGCCGAGTATGGTGTTACTTTCGTCTCTCTTGATCCAGGCTGGATCAGGACCGACATCTGGGAGTGGCAGAAGGATGTTCGCAAGCAGCTCCGGGACTTGGTCCTCTGTGACACTGATAAGGGCGCACTGACCCCGCTGTATGCTGGTGTGAGCCCAGAGGTGAGGAATGGGGGCTTCTATGTCCCCTGGGCAAGGGAGGGCAAGAGCAGGGGTGATACGGAATGGCCTGATCTGCAGGAGAAGCTCTGGGATTGGGTGCAGGAGGAGCTGAAGGACCTCCCGTTGGATGTCTACACCATACCTAATGGTAAGGTCAATGGGCTCTGACATGATTTCGTCTACATTTCTCATTATATGCGTCTCTTGTAATACAATTGTTATTAATTCCCCTCAAACCCTTGCAAAGACGCCTCAGAAAGTCCTAGTCTCGTCCGAGTTCAAGATTAGAAGCGCCATGAACCGCACATGTCCCAAGAAGTTGTCCAAGGTGATCGCCTCGTTAACAGTATGCAGGCCATTATACATCCCCTTGGGGTCGAGATGCGCATATCGGAAGATATTCTTCGTGAGCTTCCAATAATGCCTCGTGTCAGTGTTGACGTTCATCACTCCAGGAGCGACGATGATCTCCTCGTCCGAGCCACTCTTGAGCGAGGGGCCGCGCTTTGCCCACTCAGCTCGGATCGTACCGCCGAAGAGGCGCCATTCGGCTGCTTGCGGGGTGATGGGTGCAGGTTCCAAGCCGGGAGAAAACGCTTCGCCGATGAAGACTGAACCTTCCTTGCCTGTGCTGGGGATGACAGATTTGCCGAATGCGGAAAGGGAGAGATTATAGGCTTCAGCTGTAGGAGTGAGGAGTGAGGAGATGCGATCCTGCGCCTGGGCAACTGACCTGTAAATCCGATGAGTAAAGATGAGTGGGAAGACGGCATGACTTACGATCCAGGAACAATACGATGGTTGATCAACACATACGACTGTTCTGGCAAGGCATTCACTTTGACACCGCCTTGGATGACAGTACTAGCCTGTGTCGTCCTGATCAAGGTTCCCCCAAGGGGGCTCAGAGGCCCACTGGGCAACCCCAACACCCAGTTCGTCACTCGCTTGAGCGCTGACGAAGAGCTGGAAGACCGGATGATGTCTTTCCTGACTGAGTCTGGCAGGTCGGGCGAGTAGGCGGCGAGGCATTGGAGGGTATCGTAGAAGGGGTTCTTCTGGGAAAGGAACGCCTTTGGCGGGTTGCGGTTCAGAGTATGCACCATATCCGAGAGGATGTCAATTCCCTGTGTAGCAGTCAGCGGTTGGAACGGGAGTTCAGGAATCAGGCGCACTGTGTTCCCCGGCGGGACACTGGAATGCCCGCCCTTGTAGTTGACCTGGACCTTAACATCCACATGCCCCCTTTCCCCAATCGCTGGGACAGCGACCGTCCTCCCCAGCAGATCTCCATAACCCGCACCCTCATCGATGACAAACGCGATCCCCTCTTCTCCATATCGCCCAAGGAGCAACTCACCAATCGTGCGCGCGCCGTGCATACCGCTGATCTCCTCATCGAACCCAGAGGCGAGGATAATAGTACGTGTGGGCTTGAATTCGTGCTTTGCCAGAAGCTCCAAGGCGATCAACGCACCAACGAGTTGTTCTTTGTCGTCGCATGTGCCTCGGCCCCAGATATAGTCGCCGTCGTAGTACCCGGAGAAGGGCGGATGCACCCATTCTGACATCGTCTTGCGATCAACGGGAACAGTGTCCTGGTGGGCGGCGAGAAGGATGGGCTTGATTGAGGGATCGCTGCCCTGCCATGTATAGACTAGACCCCAGGTATTGACCGTCTCCACCTGAAGTGCTTTGTATCTGTTCATAGATCAATAGGAATCGAATCAGAGATCAATGCGACGCACACGTGGGGAAATGCGCCTTCAAGCCATTGATGTAATGGTGCATACTTCTCCTCCCATCGCGGATCCTTGTCAACCTCCCCAAGGTCGTCGTAAGATTCGGTCCTGGCTGAAGTGAGTTATTCAGACAATCTGAGTTAGCAGTCAACGCACTCTATCTGGACAGCAGCACCCAGTAATTCTGCACTCTTGTTCTGAAACACTTCGTTCCAAAAATCGGCATAGATTGTGTCGACAAGAGCACGGTTGCTGGGTACAAGCCCCTCTGGCTGCACACATCTCCCATAGTTATGCAGCTCGACAGGGTGGAAGATGTCGAGGTACCATTTGCTGCTCTCGATGACCTCTGCCCACCGATCAAACGTGTCAAACACTTTGCCGCTCAATAGAAACGCCCATGCCACGTAGAGGAGGTATAAGAGCGGGATTGCGCGGACGTCGACGTAGACCTCGAGACCGAATCGGCGGCTTCTACGCCTCGGTCCATAGGACGGACGTCCTGTGAGTGGTAGATGGGTTTCCGTATCGAGTTTGTCCATCGTAGTGGGATTGTTCAAGATCAAGTAATGAGTTGATTATCAGAATGTTGAACATCCTTCGCTCGTTGTCCGCATTGGACGCCTTTAGCGCCCGGAATTGGAGCGTGACGCCTCCCCTCGGAGACAATTATGACAATATTGTTGCTCTCCACCACGATGCGTCTCTAATGCTGTCGCCTCACATCCAATGGACAAGCCAACATTCTGGGAATTACAATATGCTAGTTCAAGAGCATGGTCGACGAAACCTCTCTATGGGTTGAGAGTGCCCTTATGCCCTCAGTGTCTATGTGGAGTCTATGAGAGAACGGTGCAAAGCTCGGCGTGATTGCCGTCGGTGCTTTTGCATGGTCATTCGCCCATCATATTCTATGCCCCAACATGTTCATTTACAACGGCTGGTTTGGTAACCCACGACGATAGTAACAATCGGACCGATGCAATATAGGCGTCCGTTACTCATCGGACCGCCTATTATCAGGTTGACTGGTTCTGGCAATCGGCGAAAGGTCATTACAGGAAGGGCATCTTAGCCGTTATTGGCGCCATGGCCGGGGCGCTGCTGAGACCGACTCGTATCTCTCATGATGATGGTATTGCGAGTCCTTGACATTCTCCCCAACGTATCACTACCCTGACCATTACCAGTGGCCTGCCTGATGCTGACCACTCAAACGCCAGGCACCACTTTCGCCCGTACCACTTCCACAGGATGAAGATCTCTGTTCGGCACAAGCGTGGGGCCACTAAAGTGCTTGAATGTCGCACTGGTTTCTGCCCTGTTCTTCTGTTCTCATTGTCTGCGTCGGGATACGCATCTGGCGATTTGCTCCCTTACAAGCAAGTATCGACAAGCAATTTGAGATCCCCAGGGCAAATTGGCCCCTGTATACGCCCCAACGATTTCATTCAGAATTCATCCCTCCTAAATCAGCTCTTCCGCTGATCTTCTGGGAAAAGCTCTTGATGTCTGAGGCTATATAATGGCCTGTGCAAGCAGGATAGCCTGAAAGGAGACAAGACTATCTTCATCCATTCCGCACCTTAAAGTAATTAAAATGGGAGATGCAGCAGTTGAAAAGAGAAGCCACTTTGTGATGATCGCCGAGCGGGCGATGGGTATGTAGTACGAGACATGACTACGCACCTTCGTTCTGATACCTTTTGTAGGACATCTCCGGCCCGAATGTGGTTTGGCCGTGCGTCTCGTCCGCATGCATTCATCTTTGGTTATCTGTAAGCCCGTCCACTATATAATGCCAGGCTTTTCTGAAGATATTCCCCAACTCCACAGCCTTCCTCGCCAATGTCGACTTTGTCCAACGCGCTAAAGACGAAATGGAACGTCAATGCGACGACACCGAGCGTCCCTCTCTCCTCTCGCACATCCGCATCATCGGTGTGGGCAACACCCTCGGCCCCGTCAAGACTATCACAGATGCCCGCACCCGCCTCTTCGTGGCAGACAACATGGTCCCTGACGTACCTGGTGCATTCGCTGCTGTTATGGCTGATGAGAGCTACGTCGATGGAAATAGCGTGAAATGGGAGCCGGTCGGGTGCAAGCCTACCTTGCTCATCGGTGACGTCTTGATGGGTTATGTGATCGTTCCTCTCAAGATGCAGTACCAAATTCCTCTTCTCGTCTGGATGGCTGGTGCGGCCTCGGTGTTCACAAGGTCAGTGGAATTCCACATTCGATATCATCACTCCTCAACCATGTCTAGGATGGCTGCCCCCGCAAAGTTTGGTGGCCTTGGGCAATATCAGGAAGAAGTCGAAGCAACCTTCGCCGATGAGGAGCTTCGTGCTGGACGAACCCTTGACCAGATTGCAGAGCAGGTGCGCCCCCTGTCGGTCACAGGGTGCCGTGTTTTGATGAGGTGGTAGACCTACTCGGCATCACAGTGGATGGGTGGCAACATCGTCCGCGTGAAGGGTCTGCCCTTACACTATCAATGGGAGGTCTCTCCCCAGCCTGCGTGGCTTCCGATCTCGTACCTCATGTATGTCGCCATGATTAGCCTCCTCAAGGTAGCGGACGGTGTCTTGTTGGGTACTGTTGTCGACCTCGTACGTCTGATGTGGTCTCTCTGATTGCGATTAGAGTCTGACTTCGGCCAAAACAGGAACCGGAAGCTTTCCAAGGTGTGATAGACTTCTGGGGCAATGATGGGAAGCGAGATATCCTCGCTCTTGGCCCGATGATTCCAAGGGAATACTTCGCCGACCGTGCGGAGCCGGCCGCTGCTGTGGCAAAGGTTGATCAGTCGAAAGACAAGTGCATCAAGTTCCTCGATGCAGCTCTGGAAAAATACGGCCAGAAGTCGGCGCTGTACATCTCCTTCGGAACAATCGCGTGGCCGCTCGTCCCGACCCACATCCCGACCCTTCTCGAGGTCCTTCTGAAGTTGGACCCACCCATGCCGTTCATTTTGACAACACCTGGTTCCGTCATGGCTCCTCTGCCTGAGGAGCTCATCGAGCGAGTTCGTGCATCCGGTCGAGGGCTTATTGTGGACTGGGCACCTCAGCAGGCTATGTTGTCACACCCTGCCCTTGGCTGGGTGTTGACTCATGCCGGTGGCAACACGATCTACGAATGCATGACCCAAGGCATCCCGCTCATCGCCTGGCCGTTATTCGGAGACCAACCTACCCACGCTCTCTGGCTGAGCCAGGTCATCCAGGTAGCGTATGAGCTCGTACAGACGCGGACAGGCAAGGGTGCGCAGAACGCCTACCGAGGGGGGTTGACGGGCACTGAGATCAAGGGTACGGACGATGCATTAAAGGAGGAGATTGAGCATGTGTTTGCCCTTGTCAGGGGAGAGGATGGCAAACGGATTAGGAGGAACGCAGAGAAGGCGAGGGAAATCATTCTAGATGCAGTCAAGCCCAGTGGTCAGATTCCTCAACATCTCGACATGCTGAAGAAGTACATGTAAGAACATTATTTAAACGTCGACTTCTAGACTTCAACTATGAACCTCCATCCTCTGTGTGTATCGGCCAGTACATGTAGATCCTTCTCAAATGAGAGCGATCCCGCTTGCAAGCCAACATCCACAGTCGTGCAGGGATATGCCCAGGCGTGGGCATGCCCTGATCAGGATCGTCGTGGTCATCAGGGCCTGCCACCTGACGCGGCGTTTGTCAGGCCTGAGTAGGCCCTGCATCAAGGACATAAGTAGTATAATGCTTGTAATCCTACGTAAGGTTCCGTCAGCCTGCCGGCCTCGGGGCAATGTAGGCCATGCTCCGTGAAACTGAGCATCAGGGCCCAGCAGCCAGCATGACAGGGCATCTAGTGTCAGGTGGTGTCAGCATGCCCTTGACAGATCCCACCTGATGCAACCAGGTCAGCTTCTGCCTTTCTGGGTGACATTGGTAAGACATTGTCAGGATGACTTCTCTGGGTCCATATTGGGTGAGCCCTGGCATTCCTACCCATCCTTGGTGACCCTGATGGGCAAATTGTCAGGGCACCAGCTCATTGCTTGGTCAAGAGACATGACTAAGCCTTTATGACATGGAAGTAGCTGGTATACCTTGGCATGTGCTGGAACCTGCTGGAAGATTGGATGGTCAGGTGACCTGCTGTGCAT